ACTAAAGTCCATAGTTTAGAGTTTATTCTTTGTGCTCTATATCCTGTGAGTTTTGACAAATGTATGATGTCATATGTCTACCATTACATTCTCATACAGATAATGGACAGTTTCACTGTCCCCAAAATTCCCTGTTGGCCACCTATTTATCCCTCCCCACTCCAAAACCCCTGGCAACCACTGGTCTTTTTGCCAACCCCTTACGTACTTTTGCCTTTTGCAGGATGATATATACAATAGTCCCCCCGACTATTATCTTCAGTCTCACTTCTGAAAACAGATGAGTTTCATGCAATAAGATATTTTGAGGGAGAGAGAAAGAGATCACATTCACATAAGTTTTATTACAGTATATTTTTGTAATTTTTCTCTTACTACTTGAGTTTTAATCTCTTACTGTGCCTATTTTATAAATTAAACTTTATCATAAGTATATCTATATAGGAAGAAACAAAATATATAGCGTTCGGTACTATCTGCAGTTCTAGGTATCCACTAGGGGCCTTGGAATGTAAAATCCCATGGATAACAGGGAACTACCATAGTTGGAATCATACAGTATGCATCCTTTTCAGATGAACTTCTCTCACCTAGTAGTATGCATTTAATGTTCTTTCATATCTTAATAGCTTATTTTTTCTTTTATCAATGAACATTATTTCATTATCTGTATGCACCACAGTTTGTGTCTTCATTCACATAAAGAAGGACTTCTTGGTTGCTTCCAGGTTTTGGCAGTTATGAATAACGGTGTTATAAACATTTGTGTACAAGTTTTTGAGTGAACATAAGTTTTCAGCTCATTTGGGTAGATACCAAGGAGCATGATTGGTGAATACTGCAAGAATAGGTTTAGTTTTGTAAAAAACTGCCAAACTGTCTTCCAGAGTGGCACTACCATTTTGCATTCTCAATGATGAGTAAGAGTTGCTGTTGCTCCACATCCTCACCAGCACTTGGTGTTTTTATTGTTCTGGATTTTAGCTGTTCTAACATATGTGTGGTGGTTTCTCACTGTTGTTTTGATTTGCAGTTCTCTAATGACAGAGAATGTGGAACATCTTTTCATATGCTTATTTGCTATCTGTATATCTTCTTCGGTAAGGTGTCAGTTCAGATATTTTGCCCCTTTTTAAATTGGGTTGTTTTCTTGTTGTTTTAAGAGTTCTTTGTATATCTTGGATACCAGTTCTTTATCAGATATGTGTTTCGCAAATATTTTCAGCGAGCTCTGGCTTGACTTTTCATCCTCTTTAAGTTCTTTTTTGACAGATTTCTCCTAACACCCAACAATTTCATGAATCAATTTGGACATTTTTTTAATTAAAGAAAAAAATTCAAACAGTTATGAAACTTGTTTAAGTTGCTTGAAGATATGCCATGTTGTAGGACATTTCATTTAAAGCTTTCCTGATTGTTGGACTGCAGTATGTCCATTTACTCTATCAGACACAGAAATGCGATTTGTCAGGGGAACTCTAAAGAAGGCAAGCCACCTTTAGTTTGTTACTCTGGGAAAGTAAAGTCACACTTTGGAGATGATGTCATATTGAATAGTATACACAAACTGTGAATGCCTTTGAGTCGGAGATGACTTAAGCACTCACAAAGAACTATAAGATTAAAATCTCAGTCTTTTCTGGTTAGGTAAACTATCCATTAGTTTAGAATGCCTCTATCCATTTTATAAAAATTTACTTAGTTTTTGATTCATAGCGTAGCATGTAACCACATACAATGATAGTAAGATACCTACACTTGATTGCTTAATGAACAACATGTCTTTGGGAACCATAATAAGCATAATTTCAACAAAATTTCCAGTCTTATTGATTGTTGAGATTTAGTCATATGGTAAACATTATTACTTGCAGGTATCAACAAGTACAAATAGTTGACTTGAAAAGTTGAATAATATACTAGAAAAAAAAAATCATCTGGATTAGAAGAATCAAGAAATTGTTAGAGTTGAGAGAGAAGGGATCCAGTCCAGGGCTGGAAAATAAACTTCATGTCATGTCCCACCTCCATCCATTGGCAGCAGCTTTTTCTCATCACGATGTGCAGAACAGTGCTGATGCTCCATCCGGGTGCAATGGGTGAGAGAGCCTCAATCCATTAGTGGTTTGCAAAGGGAGGCCCAGGTAGAGCCTCAAGCCCATAAACATCTTGCTCAGTAGAATCTTACATCCCCACTCAAGGATGAGAAAATGGAGGCCCGAATAACTTAAAAGCCTTTTCAAAAGTCACCCAGCTGGCTGATGGCCATGCTGATGTTTACCAGGTAAGAATTCCATTGCTTCCATTCCATGATACAACCATCTACAGTTGATAACCCGGACAACTGGTCTCAGCTCTAGAGACTTGAAAAAACAATTCTCCATTGTGTACTAATAGTCATTGTATTTAAAACTGTGTTTAAAATATTCAGTAAGAAAATATCTGGTCTATTCAAAAGAAAGGTGGGACTCATTAATAGAAATCAAATTTCAAGGAACTGGAAAAGTGAGTGCAAGATAACATAACAGTCTGTGCTTGAGCTAAGCCATGCCACCTGTTAGACAAAGTAAACAACACCGCAGCCTGGAGGTGGTGAACTGAAACGATGGCCAGGGCAGCCTGCAACATATTCTGAAATGATTCCTCTGTTGATGACTGGCTGTGGTCTCTTGGATCAGAGAATATAGGCATAGGGTCAAGTGAAGCCTTGTACAGAAAAGTTTTTGTATTTGCATTTGTTTTATTTTTTATTTTTTTGGTTGGTTACTCATGGAGAAAGTATTTGCCAGACACTGATGTGTATTTTTCTATCTTGTGTGTATGTAGGTAAAAAAAAGAAGAAAGTGGTCTAGCTAAAGCAATTAGATAGTAAACAGCAGGCATTTCATATCTAAAAAGTGGGACATGTTAATTATAAAGCTACTTCTTGGTGCTACCAGGAGCTGGATATGTGCTCCCATAGAAACATGCATAATAATCTGTTCTATGTTAGTTACTCTACTGTTAATCAGCCACCAGGCTATAATAATAGCAGACATCTATGGAATGCTTAATATATGCCACCACTGGACCACGTTGGAATACATTATTTTATTTTAATGTCAGCTATTCCAAAGAAGTAAGTAGTGTCATTTTACATAGCTTCAAGGGACATCCTGAAGATTCAAGCCCAGGTTTACCTGATTCTAAAGCCATTTCCCAGGTCATCATGTAAGACTGCCTCTCTCACCCAACTGCTTTGAACCTCTCCTCTTACCTGTGAACTGAAGATTATACCAATTAGAAGCATCAGAAGAACCAATTTTTATGAAAACTTCATAATTTATAAAGCAATATTCAGAAATAATATGCTGTTATTTATAAATAAATGATTTAAGCCAGCAAGCAGGCACTTCATTGTTATAATATTTATTTATAGCCAATGAGCAGTGTTATTATGTAGTTTTGCTAACAAGTAATTTATTTTCATAATACTTTATGGAACTGTTTTTTCCCAATACATCATCGATTATTTAGCTAGCTACAATTTAGGCCTTACTTTTCTATCATAAATTTGCCTTTTCTCCTAAATAGTCATGCTTGAGGGGACTGAGTAATTGCTTTCAGCATAATTACAGCTGCACAGTAACACAACACACCACTTACAGGTCTTTTGAATGCTTATTATTTTGGCATAAACATAGTTGATCAATTTCATATTTCTCATTGCTATTATATTAAATCTTAAAGACAAATATGCCTAATGTATTAGATGTAAAATGTTAGTAGCATACAAACAAAAAACTGGTTTAGTTTATTTGTTGCCAGTTAATTCGTCACAGACCTCATGACTATGTTTAAAGGCCTTTGAAGGATTAGATTAAAAAATGATACATCACAATAAATTAAGCTGATGAATTGTTTTCCAAATGACTACCTTTTTTTTTTCTCCAGATGCCTTCTTGATGGTCAGAAATATAGCTCATATATCTTTATTTTGTATTTATATATAATAAGTATTCTTAAGGTTTTGTTATGTTTAATAAGGATTTGCTCTCAAACAATTTAAGAAATAAAATAAACTGTTCAAAACTGAAATTTGTGACAAAAGAAAAAACAAAAATAATGAAATTTATTTAATGGATTTTTAGAAAGTGGTCCTTAGAATTTCTATGTAAGGATTTGGGATAGAAAGTCTAAGTGAGAGTCTGCCTAAGACAAAGGAGCAGAGTTAATTCTTCTCAGACTCACAATTTTATCACATAGAGCTATGGTCCTCAGCCTTTTTGGCACCAGGGACCAGTTTCATGGAAGACAGTTTTTTTCCATGGACTGGGGTGGAGGATGGTTTTGGGATGAAACTGATGCACCTCAGATCATCAGGCATTAGATCCTCATAAGGAGCATGCAACCTAGATTCCTCGCATGCACAGTTCACGATAGGGTTCTTGCTCCTATGAGAATCAAACTCTGCCACTGATGTAACATGAGACCGAGCTCAGGAGGTAGTGCTCTCTGGCCTGCCACTCACCTCCTGCTGTGCAGCCCTGTTCCTAACAGACCATGGACCAGTACCCATCCACAGCCCGGGGGTTGAGGACCCCTGATGTAGAGAATTGAGTTAGGGTACTCTGCAGTATGGCTTCTGTTGGTTTGATATATATTCTTTCACAGTCAAGGTTTTTCTGTTTCACACATTTAGGCTCCAAGCATCACATTATTTTCCCCAATTGCTTCTATTTAGAAATCACCCACTGGTCACCTGTACATACTAAGTAAGCACATCTCGATACTTTGTTTTTGTTTATTTGTAGGCGTGGGTAGGCTTTTGTAGGTTGAAACCCCCTCCCCTTTTTTTAGCCCTTTTTCCACTTAAACAGGAGATGACAGTGTGGTCACGCTCATTGGTCACTCACTGAAGTTACACCATGCAATGTTTTAAATATTCCATGGTTTTATCTATGGCGATTGGGAGAACTTTCTTTGTGTGTTGACTTGCTTTTCTGTTCTGTTTCCTGTAGAAACGCTCCAGAGGACAAGTGCTGTTTGATAAAGTATGTGAACACTTGAACTTGCTAGAGAAAGACTACTTTGGGCTTACGTATCGAGATGCTGAAAACCAGAAGGTGAGTGATCAAAAGCAGTGCAAAATAAGATGACTTGAACTGCTCATTTCTGCTGGAAAATGAACTGAGACTGAATGGGTGGATCACTTTCTTCAACTCCCTTCATACTCCCACATTTTCTACTTTGAGTCTGTAAATGCTGTTAATCATCTATTTCTCGATGAAGGAGATCACTGGCAGCTTCCTTTAATCTTGAATATTCTGGTAACAGTAAATGAACTCTTGTTTTTCATGCTTGAGTTATTTGTGGTTCCTAGAAATCATTTTATGTGGTGCCTTCTCAATGGGGTAATTATTTCAGTAGATTATTTGAACCAATGAAAATCAATTGATATTTATGTAAAAATCATGTTCATATCCCAAAATTCTATGAAGCTATTATATTTGTAACCTATAAACTGTCAGGGCAGTTTATTATTGGTGCTGCCCTATTTTTCATTCATCTTTTTATGCTTTCGTATTGTTTCTGAATCAGAATATGAGGTGGATTGTACACTGACCTAACACTTGTCTAATGTATTTAGTAGATGTTTTATGCAATACCTCTGTAGACTCTGTTCAGGGCTATATCTCCTTAATCCCCACAACTACCTGAGAAATACAGAAAAGGAAATCATTTTCATTTCACTAATACGAGAAGCTGAGTCAGAAATTCTGCTCATAGATGACCCATTTTGGTGTTGTGCCATAGTCATACTTAATACCTCCTGAATTCACCAGACAATGCGTAACTTTATTATTAAACATCTGATTTTACCAGTGAGGAAAATCACAAATCACAAGCAAGTGTTCATTTGTTAGGGAAGTTTCCTAGGTAGATGCCTAAGAATCTTTCATTGCAGAGGTCTCTAATGTGGAACTAAATGGCTAGGACATCAGTGTACCCAGTTACATATATTTTTAATTTATCTTAGTAACTTGTTTACATAGAGAATCTTCTGCCTTTTCTTCTGTTTCTGTGCTGCCTTGAATCTCTGAAGGCAGTGGTTATATAAGAAAAAGACTTCTGTCAGGTCCAAACTGCACACATGTGCATTTTCTCATTAGAACAGTGCCTGGGCCCTTGGAGGGCTTGGCAGAGGGGCACCAGATATGGGGGAAGGACCACAGCGAGGGAAGCCGTCCCAGGACCACTGACTCCTCACTGCATTTAGGGCGAGTCTGTACCTAGTCAACATTAAGTCATTTTTATTTTCCTCTGATTCAAATTCAAAATGTCATTTCCTTTTCAGAATTGGTTGGACCCCGCTAAGGAAATAAAAAAACAGGTTCGAAGTAAGTTCTTTTGGATTATTTTTTGTGGAAATGTGAAGGTTTTCAGAGAGCAAGTTGTCTGAATTGGTAGCCCATACCTAAATGGCTAGTGTGACTACAAACTTTTCTTGTCTCAAATTTGATCTAGCAGTTCAGATAGTACTCATTTTATAATTGTCACAACTCGGGGTTTAAAAGGAACGTGATACTTGACCTGTTCCTCTGCCTGTGAATAGATGTCCAGTATATGATGTAATCAACTGATGTTCGAATTGGCAGTTAACCATTTAAAAGTTCCAAACTGATTTATTAATGTTCCAACAGCCACGAAAGTATGAAAGGCTTCATAAAAGTCATAATCATTTCATAGCTTTGACTTGAATCAAACAAGTCAAACTGAAGTTTACTGTGTGGTAACAATGTTTCTTAGTCCCCTAAAGGCAATTTTAAAATTACGTAATTTAATGGACCAAACAATTGCAGGAGCAACTCACAAATTTGAAATACAAGTAGCTAATAAATATTAAACAAGTTACTAAATTTTACTAATGATTTAATGCAAATTAAAATGATACATCATTTTTCAGCTATTCAGATTAACAAAGAATTAAGGTTTAATAATAAACTATAGCACTTATTTACCCAATTGGTAGAATAAGTTGGTTCAATCCTTTCAGAGGGCAGTTTGTCAGTATTTACTAAAATTTAAGCTGTACTTACCCTTTGACCCTTAATTTCACTTGTGGAAATTTATTCAGCATATGTATTAAGAAGGAAAATGTGCATTTGTATAGAAAATGAAGATCCATTATGATTAATACTATTTACAGTTGCAGAAAACTAGAAGCAACTTGATTATCCATATATAAAGAAATTATTAATTCAATCATGGAATAGCCATATAAATATGTCTTAGTGCTCCTTAGTGAAAATCAGTTTGTGGAATATTATCTATAGCATAATCACATTTGTTTTTTTAAAAAAATTATGTCTGTATAGATGCATGGAAAACTTTTGGAAGGCTGGAAGATTTTAATAGTAATTACTCCAGAAGTATCATCATTCAGTGAAAGTAGGGGTTGAGAAAGAGGAGCTTTTTAAAGTCGTTACCCTTGCTGTAGTTCTTATTTTTGCCACAAACATGGATGCTCTTTATAATTTAAAATAACTACGTTTTATTCGTATTTTTTGTCAATAAAGTCTAAGTTTTTCCGAAAAACTAATTCTAGTTAAAGGATACATTTCAGAGCAGTTTATTAATAAGAACATCATTCCCACTTCAATAAGTAAGTTTTCAGTAGTTCACTGTTAAAAGAACAAGCAAATACTTCTTAGTGCCTTTGAAAGTCCTGAGCTATCAAAATAATACTTCAAGTACTAATAAAATATAATTAGCAGTGAGCAGTTTGGAAATGGTTCAATATGATAATATTCCAGAAAGACAAAAGTATAACCATACTTCTAAATATAGGAGAGTCAGATGATTATTTGTGCAATTTAGACATCTTTACCATATGTTTGAGGGAAATTATGTATATCCACTAACCAGAAACTTGATTAACAAATTCGGTTAATAGAAATAGTTAATTGAGACGGAAACCAGAGGTAGCTGTTGTTGTGATAAATAGGTGAAAACACTACTTATTTTTTGTTTGGAGGAATCCTAAGAAAAAATGTAAGATAAATATTTTTCTAAGGATTATTAGAGTTATTAAAGCAGACGTGCTGAATATATATCATAACATTTTGTGTGCATAAAGTTCTCCTATTCATCTAATTAATGGAATACTGAGCTGATTAATAATTGTGGAGCACTTTGAAAATATATAAAATGTTCAAGAATAAGTCATAATACCATGACAAGAAAGCCTGTATAAACTGTCTAATTTCCTTTTTTCTTATTAATAGAATTCATTTTTTCTTTAACTTCCCATTTATACTGTCTTCTACCTTCCTTTCAAAGAGAAGAAAGCTAAAGGGACAAGATGATCAAAACAAGAGATTTAGGCCGGGCACGGTGGCTCAAGCCTGTAATCCCAGCACTTTGGGAGGCCGAGGCGGGTGGATCACAAGGTCAAGAGATCGAAACGATCCTGGTCAACATGGTGAAACCCCGTCACTACTAAAAATACAAAAAATTACCTGGGCATGGTGGTGCGTGCCTGTAATCCCAGCTACTCAGGAGGCTGAGGCAGGATAATTGCCTGAACCCAGGAGGTGGAGGTTGCGGTGAGCCGAGATTGCGCCATTGCACCACTCCAACCTGGGTAACGAGTGAAACTCTGCCTTAAAAAAACAAAAAACAAAAAACAAAAAACACACACACTAGAGATTTAAAGGATTTTTTTCATCATGCAGATTAGGTGGTGTATATGACTTTGCCATAAAGAAAACTGACAGTCTTACAGATAAAGGAGACAAGGAAAATTGGAATCTCTTTAAAAATGGGATTTGGTGTTTTTTATCTGTATTATTTGTTGTTTCCCATCCACTAAAATAACCTCTTGCCACAAAATTTACATTCAACCAAGGCAGAGAAATATTACATCTAATGTAATTACTGTACCATTACCCCTCTTCCAAAATATAAATGATAAAAGGATGTTTCCATGCTTTTTCTGCTGTGGGCTCACAGTGTTCCTTTAGAATTAGATCTTTAAGAAAATGGAAACCAAGCTAACAAATATTTTAAGTCCAACTTTATGATAAATAGAAAATTCAAAAACTTCATGCCTGTAATTCCAGTTTTTTGGGAGGCTAAGACAGGAGGATCACTTGGGGCCAGAAGTTCAAGACCAGCCTGGGCAACATAGGGAGACCCTATCTCTATTTTTTAAAAGAAATTGTTTTAATTAGCTGAGCTCAGAGACACATGCCTGTAGTTAGTCACTACTGGGGAGACTAAGAGTGCTGGATACTTGAGCCTAGGAGTTTAAGGCTGCAGTGAGCTATGATTGTGCCACTGTACTGTAGTATGGGTGTCAGAGTGAGACCCTGCTTCAAAAAAAAAACCAGAAAATTCTGAAACTGAGAGGTTTTATGGAAAAAATTCTTATTCCAGGAATCTTTTATGCATGCTGGATCTTTAAATTTCTAAATACACTATATTTTGTGATTTTAAGTATGTTCATGATATAGTAATTTTGTGACATAGGGCATATATCATACTTTTATGGTGTAAATGCAGTATATTAGAAATTTTAAGATTTGGCTGGCATAAAAGACTAACATTAGAAATTTTTCATAAGAATGAACTATCATCACTGCTACTGTTTTCTATATATCGTAAATTTGTAACTTAAAATTCCACGTCAGCATTATAGAAGTATTCATGTTAATGTCTTCAAGATGTTCCATTTCCTCTTTCTAACTAGGGCCCTCATTTGAGCAAATATAGAGTTGCAAACTTATTTATTGCATGAGCACTTCCTTCTCAGTGGATTTGTTTTTGTCACATTCTTTATGAGGATATGTATTTGAGCTTTAATCTGCCTCTCTCATTAATTTCCAGTTTTATACCTCATTTAACTGGACTTTTTTTTCTTGATTGGGATATTGATTGTATTATAGTTTCTGTACACTTTCCCATTGTTTCAAAATACTGTCCTGAAAGATGTATTTTAGGGAAGTGGATTCCTTAGTAGTAGTGATTTTTCAAAGTGTGCTTCAAAAGCCCATCTTTATTATTAGAACCATAAGGGAGCTTATTTAAGCCATAATTTTCCAGGCTGTATTCAGAATCCCTGGAATAAAAATCCCTGGGGTGGAGCCTGGGAATTGGCATTTTTAACAGGTACCTCAGGTATTTCTTCGGCTCACTGTAGTTTGAAACTTGTTTTCCTAGAATGAGGATTTTTGCATTAAATGTCTTTCCTATATTTTTATTACTTATTAGTGTCTAACTTGGACATTTATTGTAAGATTGTTTAATTACATTGCTAAACTATTCGTGAATTCAAGGCCTGCTTTGACGTGAATAAAAATTATAAAAGAGTAATAAATCCATTTCCCATAACTAATCCATTAGTTTTAATTTCACTTTCTTGGGGGAAAGCCAGCACTCATTATGAACCTTACCATTGGCAAGCATTGAGGGGATCTATTTTAATAGGAAATGAGTAGGAATTAATAGGAAAATAAAACTAAATCAGACTATTTTTGGAAAAACAAAAGGACTTTTTTGAGAACAGTAGGAAAAATAATCACTAAAATATATTTGACAGATATATTTTGAGTGGTTTAAAAATGATATTAAGCCCCCAATAATGCCTGATCGTATACTAAATCCTTTATACAGCACCTCAGGTAGAGTCCCTGCCATGTGGAATCTTAAATGTGATGTCAACGATAGTGTCAAGAATATAACTAATACACGGATTTATGCCATTTGTGACAAAGGTTAAGAAATTGATGAAGTTAAGTATTGCCTCCGATGCAGGTGAACAGTGCAGAGAAAGGAGATAGGAAATACAGTACCGTGCCTTCCTCTGAATGTGTGGGAAAGGCTCGTGGAGCAATGGAGTGTCCAGAAGTCATTCAATGGAGAGACAGGGAGATTTGGAAGTCTTAGGAGACTATTGGAAGCAAAAGGGGCAGACTGAAGTCACAGAATCAGAATCCTAGAGTCAAGGCAAGTCAGCGGCCACTGGGTGAGGCATGAATGAAAGACCTCCAGAGTGGAAGCTGGAGGACTGGGAGGAATTTTTCTGTAAAACATTCAAAATGCAAGCAGAACCTAGGCTCGGGCACTTTTAGTGTTCTTCTTGGGTAGAGGGAACAAATATAAACAGCACCACAGAGGAGGAATACCCAGACTTTGGTAAATTGCTGCATTTAAAAGCCAGAACAGAGTGAATACAGGTGAAAGTAATGATCACATAGTAAATGCAGAAAAAAAGAAAAGGGTCTTTTCCACATTTATATTGATAAACCATATATAATTAGAGATAGTATTAATGAGATGTGGAGCTGAGTTAAGGCTTCATAATGCTTCAAAGATATGTGTTTACAATACAGAGAGTAGGTACTGGTAAGCTGACTCCTGGTTGACCCTTTTCAGTGCTGGAGAGGCCGTGAGTAAAGGCCACAGGATAAAGACGGCAAAGCATAAAGAGGATCCTGCTAAGACTCAGGCTAAGGAGGTGCAGGTGCAAAATTTGGCAATGTACAATAAATACATTCAAGTACCTATTTCATCAAAAATTTTCCTGAGCAAGAAAAGAATTTTCAGCAGCCCACAGAGCAGCCCACCTGCTAGAACACTGTTCACTGCAACAAACCTTTCTCATAAAATAAATCTATGTTTAATATTCCCTTGGATTTACTATAATTGGATTTGACCTACAATAACAAAGCAGAAAGGACAAAAAAATGGGAATTATATTTGTAGTGTTGGTCTGTGAGCTATCCAGAAATTTGCAACAATAAATCCAGCCACTTCCAGATTTCCCTGACTGAAGATTATTCATGTCATTCATGCTTTTTCCCTCTTCCAAGTGCTGACCTTAGATTCCGAAGAGGTGGGAGGTTTGATCAGTTTCCTTGCTAGTTAAAAGTACTAATAAAGGATTTAATTGATTGGGGAGAAGGTTAGAAATTAGGCGAGGTTTCGGACTTATCTATATATTTCATATAACTAAGGTTTCCCAGTTTTCCATTGATGATCAAAAGTTGCCTGGGTGTTAATGTTTGGAGTTAAGGCAGTTCTGACTCTCAGTTGGAATCATAAGATTTTCTTGAGGTTTTACTCTAATTTTTTTCCATCCTTGCAGGTGGTGCTTGGCACTTTTCTTTTAATGTGAAATTCTATCCACCAGACCCTGCCCAGCTATCTGAAGATATCACCAGGTATTTAAAAGTTGGCTATGCAAAAGACAAGCGTTATTGGGAGAGTTGGGCTTCTCTTAAATGCCCCAAAGAGGAGTGTGCTTACATCTGGTAGCCTTACAACCAACCATGTTCAAATGGCACACAAAAGGCAGATGAATGAGACTAAACATCTGAAGAAAAGATTTGCCAAATCCTATGTTTTCACAGTTGAATCTTTGGTGCCAGGCTGATATTCCCTCTGCTTGACCCTGGTGGGAAAACATGCAGAATTGAAATACAATCATCCACACACCATAGTCAAATTGGATGGGATTTAGCCTTGTATGATACAGCACTTCTTAGTTTTTCTGCTTTAATACTTAGAGTAAAAATGTCCTTGGATGCTTATGCTTTTTATATAACCAACACATATGCACATAAATTTGAATGTTTACTTTCTACATCTTGCGTATAGGAAAATGATTGTTTTCTAGAAAGAAGCTATTAAGAAAGGAATTGAACATAAAAATATTTCAGTTTGGTAACTGAGTTGAGTGAGAAAAAGGATCTCATTATAAAGCTGTACTGGATGTCTTAATCTGGGCTGCTATAACAAAATACCACAAACTGGGTGGTTCATAAACAATAGAAACATATTTCTCACTGTTCTGGAGACGGGGAATTTGAGACCAGGGTGCCTGCAGGTCAGGTCCTGGTGAGGATGTGCTTCCAGGTTGCAGGATGCTGACTTCTTACTGTGTCCTCATGTGGTGAAAGGGTGAGGGAGTCTCTCTCTAGCCTTTTTTATAAGGGCACTAATCCCATTCATGAGGGCTCCACCCTAATAGCTTTCCAGAGACCCCCACCTTGTGATCCCATCACCTTGAGGGTAGGATTCGAATTCAAACATATGGATTTGGAGGGGAAGGGGCACAGACACTCAGTTCATTGTTCCCGGTGTGCTCTGACCCTCTAGGCTTCTCTACATTCACCTTAGAACCCCTGCTCTCTTGCTCAGCTTGGTGTAGTAAGACTTGTTATAAAACAAGTCAAAGCAATTTTGTGCAGTGTGTGTAGAATTTTCTGTGTAAGCTTTGCATTCTTTTTGGAGGGCTTTACGGAAAAGAGAAATTACAGTAATTTCACCAGACATATTAAGAGAAGATTAAAAATTAGTTTGAGAGAATTTTTTAATATTTGCAATAAATCAGAAAATTTATATAATTTCTTATTTAAAGATACTTTCTAGTTGCTATTGAAGAACTGTTTTATTTTGGCTAATTTGTGATTATAGAGCCCATCTATACCTGGACTTGAAAATGTAGTGCATGATTTCTTTCTCTTGACTCATAATATTTGTAGAGCCTGTTAAATGTTTAAGGATTTTTTCTGTCTGAGTTACATGGAATTTACTCATGTCACCAGCCTAAAATCTTAACTAGAGGGGACCTTAAGACTTTATCATAGTCCTCTGCTTCCGTGAACAGTTCATTTCTTATCTAAAACGTAGCAGGTCTGCTTTGTTCTATTCATATTCTAGGCTATGATCCAGATTCTTAAAACTCACCAATGTTAACACTTACCTTGAGGTCTTTGGCAGTTAGTAATTTATCTGTAAGTCTTAAAAGCAAAATAACGGAGAAGACAAATCAACATATTTTTATGATACGGCAAAATTATATGGAAAATGTTAATTTCTCCAGTTTAAAACTATTTATGGTGACAAGATTCTCAAATTTTAAGGTAGTAATTCTTTATATCTTAGATAGATTTTAGGAAGCTACCTAAATTTTAAAAACGAGAACTGAAAACAGAAGAAATTGTGTTATTATAAAGAGACTACCTAACTACGAATGCAGGAAATTGAGAGCAAAGTTTTTAATGACATAGCTGTTGAGTTACCTGAAATCTATTTTGCTCATATAGGAAGACCTGTCATCTTAATATCAAAGTGAGACTTCCGTAAGGCTAATTGGGGCCTAATAATTACAGTCATGTCACTTAACAATGAAGATACATTCTGAGAAATGCATCTTTAGATGACCTTATTGTTGTGTGAACATCCCAGAGTGGACTTGCACAAAGCTAAATGGTAGAGCCTACTGTTCATCTAGGTTCTATGACAAAGCCCATTGCTCCTAGGCTACAAAGCTGTACAGCATGTGACTGTACTGAATACTGTGGGAAATAATTACAGAATGGTAAGTATTCGTATATCTAAATATAGAAAACATACAAAAAATACAATCTAAAAAATTGTTTTTAATGGTACACTCATATAGCCTAAGTGTACAGTGTTTATAATAAAGACCACAGTAGTGTACGATAACACTGTACACTGAGGCTACCTTCGGTTTAGTTTAAAAAATGTCTTTCTTCAATAATAAATTAACCTTAGCTTACTTTTTACTTAAAAAAGTAAAAATTACTGTTTAAAAATAATTTTTAAAGTAAAATTTAAGTAATTTAAGTACAAATTTAAAGTAAAATTAAGTAATTTAGGTAAAATTACTTTTTACTTAAAAATTAACCTTTTCACTTTTTAAACTTTTTAATTTTTTTAACGTTTGCCTCTTTTAGTAACACTTCACTTGAAACACACATCGTACACGTGCACAAAAATATTTTCTTTATATCTTTATTCTGTACATTTTTTCTATTTTTAAAATTTATAATTTGTTTTTACTTTATAACTCTTTCTTTAAAAACTTAAGACATAAACACACATATTATTAGCCTAGGCCTACACAGGGTCAAGATCATCAGTATCACTGTCTCCACCTCCACATGCTGTCCCACTGGAAGGTCTTCAGGGGCAGTAACACACGGGAAGCTGTCATCTCCTAGAATAACAATCCCTTCTTCTGATACCTTGTGAAGCTCCTGCCAGAGGTTGTTTTACAGTTAACTTTTTGTTTTTCACAAGTAGGAGGAGTAAACTCTAAAGTGATGATAAAAAGTATAGCATAGTGAATACATAAACTAGTATGTAATCACTTGTTGTTTTTATCAAGTATTAAGTTTTGCACATGATTGTATGTGCTAGTTTTTTATATGAGTAGATTTTTTGCACCAGCTCCACCCAAGGATTTCAGGGACTGTCTTGGGGACTGTTCATTTGATTTTAAAAGTTATTTTAAAAGATGTCAGAATAATATGTCTTTACATTTCTTTTAGACTATGCTTTATTAATAAACCCCATTTTATTATGAACACTGACTTGCTTCTAGATGCCTTTACGTGCTGTCTTTTGTTACCGAGTATTTTTCCCTTCTACCTAGAAAAAATATGTATGAAGTAAATACCAAAATATACAGATGCTAGAAAATTTATCTTAGAGAGGTTGTTCTGCAGGGAGAAATTACTTACCACAGTTTTTACCAAGCGATCTCCTTTTCCTGTATCCTCATGCTGGCCTTCGTTGTGTTGTGCTTTTGGTTCCTGGAAGGTACTACCTCTGCTTGCAGTTGCGAGATGACATCGTGTCCGGAAGGCTGCCCTGCTCCTTCGTTACCCTGGCCTTGCTGGGGTCCTACACTGTCCAGTCAGAACTCGGAGACTATGACCCAGACGAATGTGGGAGCGATTACATTAGCGAGTTCCGCTTTGCACCAAACCACACAAAAGAACTGGAAGACAAAGTGATCGAGCTGCACAAGAGCCACAGGTTAGAGGCAGAAGCCCTGAGTGTGTTCATTTAAGTTTTACCTTGATGGGTAAGTGCCCCGCACACAACCCACCTCTTCCCAGTACTAATTTTAGTCCAATAACGGCGAGACTTGAGCAGAGCGTGGGTCCATGCATGATCAAGTTCTGAGATGGGTAAGCTTTCACTCAGAGCATCCAGGCATTCATTTGTAGTGCTTTCTTGCAAAGCCCTTTTTCTTGTTATTCTTTTCTCATGTATCTTCTGATGCCTTCCCCTCCGATGGGTGAGGGGAACTGCTTCTTATGATATAGCATGGAGCAAAGTGGGAAATTTTACAGCCTACCAGGGAAAGGAAAAGCATCATTGTAACATATTTTTCTTCTCATCAGAGGGATGACGCCAGCAGAAGCAGAGATGCATTTCTTGGAAAATGCCAAAAAATTGTCCATGTATGGGGTAGATTTACATCATGCTAAGGTATGCGTTTTTTAAACCCTAGACTTACTATTTAATGTTATTTAACTCAGTGTTGCTATTACTGTACACTGGTGATTTACTTCAGCTAATGTGAATGAAACCTTTGAGAATTCAAATCTCTGTTTGTCTTTTAAGCCCTATTCCATGATACAACAAATGTAGCTTTCTGATATTTACCGAAGGGTTTGCTCTTTGTGGCTCAAACTTGCATTACTCCTGGGCTCAGCCTCCTGAAAGGCTGTGATGGGCAAAGCCTCTAATTGCCTTTTGATACAGTTAGAAACCTACCGTGACATAACAAGCTCTTAGTTCACCCTGCCTCCCCATCACTGTAATATTCCACGCTCTGTGCTATCTCATGCCCTTTGCTCCCGTCAGACTCCGTTTGTGCCCTTTCTCTCTGTGCGTCTCTGGACTGTCCTCCTCTTTCCTGTCTGTGTGTCCAAACTTAGCCTGTTGTCCAAGACTCAAGTGTCACATCGGTTATGGGCCCCAGACACATACCACACATACTGTCTGTGGCCCTACCTGGACACATACCAGGCAGTCAGTAAATTTATATAGAATTTAAGAAGGCTACCTCCAAAGTTTAGGTACTCTGACAAATAATCAGAACCATGTAATAAGATTGTTGTTTTAAAGTTCACCCACACTAAGGTTTGCCTCTATGACTGGTGACTGATGAAATGTTGAAAGTGTATCTTGAAAACAGAGTCTTGGGAAGAAAGAATTTGGATTGAGATGGTAGTGGGGTTACAGTTGTGAAGATGCACAGAGCAGCTTTGACTCCGTGTCATGCTTATTCTGGAATCTCTGTACTTTTAGTAGTGATAGAATGAATGTAGGACTGCTAGTCTTTTTAAACAGTCCAGAATAAAAGTCCTGTGGAAATACGGGAAAACTTTTATTAGCACAACATATAAAATTTGTTAGGATCGTAGGTTTGGATTCTGATACATTAGCAGTGTTAAAAAGGTCAATGTTAAAGGTCAGAGGTCATTTCTTCTGATTAAGTCCAACAGGATGACATTGTTCCTGTTTAGGGATGTGTGTTTGACTTTGATGGACAGAGTTAATTACCACTTTTATGGTCTGAGACTCACAAAACGTGCAGTTACAGGTTTCCAGGCAAATGACTGTCTTACACAGTCAGGCTTAGGGCCTGGAAATGAAGAGAATTTCAGCTGGCCCTGTTCAAACAAACACCTCAGCACTCCTGTAGACCCATGGCACGGAGGTCTGTGATCTATAGGTTCTGTTAATACTGGAAGTTTGGCTGCACTTTGGTTAGCGTTTGGAAAGCAAGATTAATCCACAGGGATTTGGGGAGGAGAACAGTGGCCCTTGAATCTGTGCGGGTTTGATTGGTTTTGCTTTGGATTACTCTGCACATCGGGCAAAATGAGCCCTACAAGGCCCAAGCGTTATCAAAATCTCTGTGTCTTGGCGGAGGCTCACACCAGGGATGTGCTGGTATGTTGAATGTCAAGCTCTTTGACATTTGTGTGTAATTACAACAACAGATGTAGCTCTGTTTACTTGCCGGTTCATTATTACACTTTTTCACTTATTTTGCACTCAGATGACACAGATGTTTTCTATTGTATGCCAGGTACGAGGGAGAGTGAGAATTTCAAAATAAAAATAAGAGCAGACATGAAGATTTTTTAATTTCTCTTAGTGTTTTCCCCTAAGGGGCTAAAAGATAAGGAAACAAGAAGGAAGTGAAGGGAGCCTGAGAATTTGACTGACTCTGAAGCTATTTTTGGGTTACTTCGATTCACTTACTGCCCAGAAAATAAATAAATAAAGATTAGCATGTACATTTCAGGAAGTGCACCTCAGGATGTGTCAGTGTTTCTATCAGTAAAAATAAAATCACTTAACATTGCTATAGCTATAGAATTGAAATAGATAGCTGCCTTTTCATTTAATAATGTGATTTCAAATTATGCCAGTTTAAAAGAAAGAGAAGGAAGTGCAAATGCAGCATTATAGGAATTTATCTGAATATTAAGTATAACAGATAATTCAGTTATAGACTCCATTTTCTCATGCAGCCGCACTCCATCATTTGAAGAAGGAAATTTACTGAAACAAATTGGAGCTAATTCCCGGTTATGAGTGAGATGCCTCGCTTCTGTCGATGGTGTGAAAGACTCTGAGCTTTATAATCCATTTAAAAATTCTGAGCTGGAATCCTGTATGAAGAATAAATACCCACTTTAGACAGAGGTCCCGTGTTTTGAAAAACCTATTCTAAATGCTTTGGTTTTTCCCTTGTACATCCGTCTTTGTTTGTTTGTCACTTAATGTGCCTGTAGATAGGCTTTGTCAGAGTCACTCGTTTTCTGTAAGATTCTGAAATGTAGATATAAGTCCATATAGGATATCCTACAGAGCAGGAGATACTGAAGGATGGCAAAGTTCGAACAGTGATGTTGAATTAAAGAAATTATATGCCCCTTTATTTTCATGATGACTGAGACTGTTCAGGTCCACCCCAGTGCTCCTTGCAAAAGGGAGTACACATGTATTTATTGATAGTGAAATGCACATGTCCTCAAGAAATACCGTTGTCATAACTTTTAAAACCAAATATTTCTCAGACCCAGCAAGGTGGCTCACACCTGTAATCCTAGCACTGTGAGACAAGTGGATTGCTTAAACCCAGGAGTTCGAGACCAGCCTATGCAATGTAGCAACAGCCAATCTCTACCAAAAAAAAAAAAAAAAAAAAAGAGCCAAGTGTGGTGGCACATGCCTGTGGTTCCAGCTACTTAGGAGACAGAGGCCAGAGGGTCACTTGAGCCCCTAGAGGTGGAGGTTGCATTGAGCCAAGATGTCACCAGTGTGCTCCAGCCTGGGCAACAAAGGGAGACCGTGTCTCAAAAAAAAAAAAAAAAAAAAAAAATTCTCAAACTTATCTTAATACCATGGGCTGTGGCAGAAAATTTGAGAAGAAAAGTATAGTTTTTGTTGCCATGCAATTAATAAAATGGAGACTTACATTCAATTTAACACTGCAGTTGTTTCTGCCTTTTTCATTTTTCATCTTTCTTTCAACAAACATGTAATGGCTAATGCATGCAAGGTAGGCAGTGTGCTGGCTGTGAGGTTACAAAGAAACAGAGCTCCTGCTCTCAATCAGCTTTCGTCTCCAGGAGAAGGAAGACACATGGTAGTTTATTTCAGTGCCATTTGCTAAGGGTGTACTAGAGATAACAGATTGATTTGGGGACACAGAGAAGTATGTTTTGGAGGGGACAAGAAGAGCCTTCTTCATCTTCCTCATGAAGGAAGGTACTGTTTTCTTAAAGTTTAAAGAACTAACAGGTGATTTAAAATTTTTATTAAAAGTTTCATTGTTATCTGATAGTGGAAAAGGTTTTGAATGTCCATTCCCTCAGTAGGTTGAAAGTACACTTCCTAAAATCACGTTCTGTAGTTACCAAATAGAAAGTGAGTCCAAGAGCAGGTATTCCGGTAGTCCTTTCTCATGCCTGTGCTCTGCCAATGGCATGAGGTTGTCACCTGTGAGTGATGGTACAGACAGATTGGCTGGTTCTAAAGGATCAGTAATGCCAGCTGCATGTCAGCATCAGGTTATAACTCTTTAAATCACTCTTTTAAATTAAAGTCCTAGATAAACAGTGGGCAGTTTCCAGTCTTTGGGTTCTCCTCAAATTTTATTATATTGTAATATCCTGCCATCAAATATTTCCACTCCCACAGAGTAATTCAGTATGTCATGGAGTGATATGTTTCCAAGATAAAATATTTCATTTTAAACTAATTATACTTCATTTGCAAACTTACGTTTCCCTGAGATGGACTAATATATGTATTTCTGATTCTGGAAATTTCCATCTTCTGCCTTGCATTGACAGGACTGAGGAAGTGAATTTCCACGATGTAGATGTGTTAGTCTCCTTTTCCAATTCTTCTGTTTTCCCCTCTGCTCTGCCAATGTTGCAGGATAACTCAAAGCTGGAGACATCCCTGTGGGTTATGTAACAGCAGATCTGGGCATAGCTTCCAATGGGTGGTTAGCTGATGACCCTTTCTGTCCCCTGTTTTCAACAAGTAATGGAACCAGGGGTGGACTGTGACTTCACATACAATCCTGCCTGTGTCCTTTTTCCTTCATTCACGTCCACTGTAGATGTTCCTTTTACCCTGACTTAAATGGAATACAACATGGGAAAAGACTGTATGTGGTACATCTCCTAAGCTTGATACAACATCCCTGATGAGCTCTGACATCACACATCCCTAGGAAATTATCTAAACATAAAATGTGCAAATAGCAAAAGCAAGTTGCAGTTCTAGTATGATCTCACATTTGTTTTTTTAAAAAATTATACACATATTTAAAATGTATTTATATTTATATATGTGAGCCGTATTGCTACGTGTGATTACCACTGGGCAGTGTGTTTGTGTGGAGGGAAGGGCAATTGTTGGGGTAAATACATTCATGTATGAAATACATTCATAAATTTTTTTATTCATTCGTACTTTAAAAAAAATTTCATATTTAAATTTTACTCTGACAATAATGGTATATAAAGAAGACCGGGACTGTTTTTCAAAGGAAGAACAACCAAAACCCTCATAGGAAAAGACAGGGTCCATCTTGTTACCATACGTGCTGATTAAGAGTGTTGCCTCTGGAGGTAGGCTGTGTTCAGCTGAGACTCTGTACCTGTTTGCTCATCGGTAAAATGGAAATAATAATAGCAACCATCTCAATCACAATGAAGATTAATCGAGTTAATATATGTAAAGCAGAGCAGTGCCTGGCAATTGATAAGTGAGATGTGGCTACTATTATTATTGTTATTAACATACCGTCATTGACTGGGCCCTCTTGGTGTACAGTATTTACCTTGTAAGTTTGAGACACCTGGGAGAGCAGATTTTACTCTAACAAACCTCTCCATAGTGATAAACATCTGCACCAAAGGCTATTGTTTAATGTTTTAAAAAATGGCTGTTATCATTTTGCATATGTAAATCAGCCATTTATAGTTTCTATCATGGTTGCTTAAATATGGTAACCTGCAAAAAATGGAAATAAGTTAGATACTGATCTGTTGTTTCTTGCTGTTGTTTTCCAGGACTCAGAAGGAGTAGAAATTATGTTAGGAGTTTGTGCAAGTGGTCTGTTGATATATCGTGACCGGCTGCGAATAAACAGATTTGCCTGGCCCAAGGTTCTAAAGATTTCATATAAACGGAACAACTTTTACATAAAGATCCGGCCAGGAGAGGTAAGTACACCCACATTTGCATGCACATTGGGAGGAAAGATCCCTGATAGCAAGCAAAAAAGTTAAATTATCCGCTTATGAGTTCTGAGCATTGTGGGATACAGTGAATTACATCTTAGTGCCTCAGAGAATTTATTGTAGGTTTGTCCAATAAACAGTAATAAATAAAATATTGTCCTCTTTGTTATGTTGTTCCATTATTTCCTACTGCATACATGAATTGAAGGGTTTTTAAAAACATATTTCAATATAAAATCCAGATTCATGAATAATTTTGTGTTTATTTCAAGCAGTGAGGGATAAATCTCTTCCTCCACCTCCTGTTGTTATTTCTCCATGCCCTATTTGTCCTGCAAATCTGATTGTACTTTAAAGTGAACAGCTTAGAGGTCATGTATTTCAAGGTACAAGGAAGATTAGAACCAAGGACAACAGTGAGTGTGAATTATGTCAATGTTCTATAGCTCAGTATATGCTTGCTTTTTTTTTTTTTTTAATCAGAGAAGCTAATGAAATAATAGGAATTGTTAACTAGTCCTTACTCCTTGGACAATAGCCTCCATAATCAACTTATGTTTATATCTTCCTTAGTGGCTTGTACATAACAGTAACACATATCTAGTCTTATTTACTTAAGAGATAGTTAATAAAAACCTCAAATTTCTAATTGATGTGATTAGATTCTAGCATACTTATATCCCTGAACATTTTCTGATATAATATAGAGTGATCTCATATCTTCAAAATCTATTCTCCACTGGAGTTTCTTGGTTGAAAATGCAATTTAAAAAAAATCAGAGTATCAGCTGAGCATAGTGGCTCATGCCTGTAATCCCAGCACTTTGGGAGGCTAAGAGTGGGGGAATTGCCTAGGCCCAGGGCTTTAAGGCTGCAGTGAGCCATTATCACACCACTGTACCCCAGCCTGGTTGACAGAGCAAAGACCCTGTCTCAAAAACAACAAAACATTGAAGCATAAAGCATGTAATTAAGTTTAATCTGAATATAACTTCCTATCTATGGTGACTGAAATAATTTGTAAACTTTTTATGTAAATATCTAAAATTACTTCTCACTCTTCTAAAAATATTTTTAAAATATTTTCTAAAGATTATATGTTAAATTTGTAGCCAACAGATAGTCATTTGACTTCTTTGAACATTTGTTAAGTGAGCATCTATTTATTGTCAGACATTAGAAATAGAAAGACAAATACGGCCTTGTTCCTTGTTAAGGGATTTTCTATTTCGCAGAAAAACGGACTCATATGCTTTGATTGTAACAGCATGATGCCAATGAGATGATATTCTGTAGATATGGAATGAGCATAGTATTATGAGAGGCCAGAGGGGAAAGCTAGAGAAATGAATCAGTAGGCAGTAGTGAGTCATGGGAGGTTTTAAATCAGGATGTGACACAACTAGGCGAATATTTTGGAATGATGGATTTCTTAATGAAATTCAGCTACTTGGAAACATGATGTGATAAGACCTAAATTAGGGCAGAGGCTGTGGGAATAGAATGGAGGGAACAAATTCAGGAGAGAAGTTTTAGAGGCAGAAGCAGCAGGTCTTAGAGACAGGATGGAGGAAGGAATTAAAAGAGAGAAGAGTCCAGGATAATCAAAGGTTTTCAGTTTGCATGATTGAAGCCAATGGAGATAATATTAAGCAGGAGGGAAAAGGGTGAAATTTTCAGAAAAGCAATTGAAATCCCTTTGGGGCAGATTTTCAGGGAGTGATTCTTGCATAGGAAGGAATTGAACAGAGTTATCAACTCTGTATGTTTTATTCAGAGCCTTAGACATGGAATAAATTACTCAAAGAGCAAGGCAAGTTATAGAAAGAAAAGGCCCTAAAACTAGAACTCTGGATAATACCACTATTTGAGAAAGAGCCAAGGAAATGAAGAAATGACAACCAGAGAAATAAAAGAAGAAACATAGACTGATAGATGACCAGGAGATGAGTTTCAGAGGAAAGTGGTTCGCTAGCAGTACCGTGTGTTACAGAACAGTCAGGCCCCACGATGACATTTTAGAGTTCAGAACGGTGTGAGGAGCGTCTTCCAGGACGTGTTGAGGTCAGGAGTGAATAGCAGAGGCAGTAGGTAGTGGCTTCTCCTTCCAGAAGTTTAACAGTGAGGAGTGAGACGGGGTTGTGCTGCCGTCAGAGGCAGGCTCAGAGAAACCCGGTTTTTCACTTCCCTTCCCTCTGGTTCTACGATCCTATTTTTAGCCTAAGAAGAGTGAGAAGAAATTATTGGGGATGCACAGGCTCTGAAGAGATTGAAAGAAATTAATAGAGAAATAGATATTAATTCAGGTAGCCTAGAAGCCTGCATCATCCTTGCCTACGGAGATTGGCAGAGACTCCTCCCAGCTTCTTGCAGCAGAGTGCAAGCTGACTCTTCCTTATAACCCCTGGCATTGGCATAATATGTGCATATGAAATACAGGATTAATAAATGGATGATGGTTTAGTCACGAGCCGCACTATGTCTGTCTTGACTGGGTCCCTTGGACAGTAGTGATGTTTACAAACACCACTGCATGTGAACATCCAGAGTGAATAAGAAGTTGGGAAAGGCAGTTCCAGTTGAAGCAATTGTGATGTATTTCCCACTTCCCCTAATCATCCTCAGCAAACAAGAAATAGAGGTCAAGCATGATTGTATCTCACATGCTGTGCATATGACCCTTCGTCTTGGTTCTTTGCCACATAAATTATTTTTACTAATGATTATAGCAGTAGTTCGGTTGTTTGCTCTTTTGGAAAGCCTTTGCTGTTTAAGATGATTGCCCTCTGGTGGTCTGATGCGTGCAACTTCTTCAGAATATGAAAACTCATACGTCTGCAGTAATAAAGTATATTATGCAGGAAATGAGATGAGTGTTTAACCTCAAAAAATCAAATGGCTGATAAAGCATTATCTGAAATGTACATGCTGAAAAATATGAAAGTATGTTTCCCCAATCTGTGGTCTTAGTATGATATAGAGAAACATTAGCATTTAAAATGATAATCCATAATGGAATATACAAATAAAATCAGCAATCTCTGATACCAAGTCATCAACCACCGAAGAAATATATATATTTCCTGACCAGATATTAGGAGAAAAATGTCATTTCTAAGAATACTGTAGACTATATCTGTAAACATTTTGTTCATTTCTGTACCTTCCAGTTGAAATCATTGTGTCATTGAGAAACCATGAAAAGTTTAAAAGTGGTATCAGGCAAAATTGATTTCTGGAAGAAATAAAACTCTTTTTGTGTTTAGTTTTCTGTTGAATCCTAAGATACACACTTACTCAAGACATTTTACTGCATACATAATATGGCTATTTATCCCTGCATCATTTTAAAGACACATTTTTTAAAATTAGTGAATGCATATAGCATGAATTATGCATATAGCAATTGATCTAGTTAGTAAATTTTTAAAATTCTGGTGGCATTATGATTTTGTAAGTTATTTACAGGGCTTCTGTTATTCGTAATTTTAAACTTTACTCTTCGATGTATTTGTTTTTTATTTAGTTTGAACAATTTGAAAGCACCATTGGGTTTAAGCTGCCAAACCATCGAGCTGCCAAGCGTTTATGGAAAGTTTGTGTTGAGCATCATACATTTTTCAGGTAGGAAGAGATTATTTTGTTTTTCCCCTAAGTAATAATTATAATCACTTACACTGAAAAAGATTATCAGGAAAAGAAATATGGAATTTTATCCTTACTGTTCCTTCAAGTTCATTCTCACCATATTTCTTGATAAGAAATCCTAACAGAACTAGAAAAAGACTAAATTTGAAGGATTTTCCTTAATTTGTCAAGTACTTACATGTCCCACCTCTCCCACTTCTTTAGTGTCTTTCCATTGCTTTTAGAGTGTCCACTTCAAATAGCCAATCCATTCCTTACTATTTCAATTCCTTACAATTTCAGTGAATTCTCAATACCCTGTCTCTCTTTACCTACCTACACATAGTATGAGACACATCAAATTAGACATCCAATAGCAAATTATCACTCTTCTTCACTAATATCGCCTGTTTAGTTGCTGTTTGGGCTTAGAGACCATAGACTGTCCACTTTGCATGGAATGTTAAAAGTTCCTCTAGTTTAGTACAACCCAAACTTGCATATATCCTCTCTACAACATCTCTAGTTGATGTCTATCATGTGCATTTTTTTAATGAAATCAGATTTATTTAACTACAAGTTATGTGTTAAACCTTTAGCACACAAAACACATGACCTCACAGAGTATAAAGTTTAAAAAGCACTCTCAGTATTGGACTTAATAGTCTTTCTGCTGCTTTTCTGTATTCTCTTTAGACTGTTGTTACCAGAAGCACCTCCCAAGAAATTCCTAACCTTGGGTTCCAAGTTTCGTTATAGTGGCAGGACACAAGCGCAAACGAGAAGAGCCAGTGCGTTGATAGATCGCCCAGCGCCTTACTTTGAACGCTCGTCCAGCAAACGTTATACCATGTCTCGCAGCTTGGATGGAGGTAGGCATCACTTACTGGCCCTTAATAACCCTAGGAGCTACCCCCCAAAAAGTATGACACTATCATGAGCTTTCAGTAAGCATAGATCTTCCTGGATATTGTACTTTGAAAAGCAGCTGTTGCTCATTGGCTGAATGGCAGATTTTTAAGCACCCCCCCCCCCGACCATTGAAATAAAAATGGCTTTGTCAGTCTAACATCTGCAGGTTTATGTAAAATAACATAAAAAATGGCACTCGGAATGAAGAAAATAGCTTTCATAAGCTGACACCCTGAATTTGGAAAAAGATGCTCTCATTCTAAATATAGTAGTCACATACTCTGTGATTTGATTTCCTTGCCAACAGGTCTTAAAGGATTAGTAGGTTTAAGACTATTTGTTTCTTAAATCTGTAAGTGAAATTTATTTGTCTCTAAAAATTTTTATGAATAAAATATGACCTTTATCAGTCAGTTGATAATAGCTGGTAGAAAGGATGGTATGCAAATGACAGAGCAAAGGGCTGTAAGTTAAATTCTCCTGGTTGTGCTAATTACAACTCCAGATGGGCTGGGAGAACAGTGCTATGTGGGGGTTCTGTACTGCCAAGTCAAATTAGTCAAATGGAGAGATGATCACTCAAACAACCTTTGAAGGGGATAACACAACAGTGAATTTTTAGTAGGGTTTTGTTTTATCAAACAGTTTCTTGATTGCTCTCTGTAGTAATATGGAGGCACGCTTTCTGCTGCAAGGCATGCCCACTGTGGCAGTACTCGGGGACTGTCATGTCTGGGTCTCTGCCTTCTCATTTAGAGCACCTGGAGATTCGCTGTTTTTAATAGAAGATCTTAACCTGTGCAAATAAAACGAATTAGAAGTTTCTGGTTTGCACGTACAGTTTAAATAATAAGGAAAAACATAAAACAAAAGTTACAAGTGCCTAGGACCATCTCCCTCCCTACCTTTTTTGCCACTGTTCCCCTGATAGTCTCACCTCTGCCTTCCCCATTTCACTATCCAGGTGATTGATGGGAAGAGGTGCTCCTTGAATCACCCAACTAAAAACAACCATCTTTTTCTAATGGAATACTTTATGAACAGTTTATAGAAGAAATCAAAATAGCATTATTAATGCTATGTTATGTATGCTACTGGTGAGGTGGGAATTGTACTCATGTGGCATTGGTAAATCCAGACTGAAGTCCAGGCTCTGCTGCCCTCTGTCTCTGCGATGGTTGGCAAATGACTTCAGCTCTCCATGTCTGTTTTAGTCATCTGTGTAATAGGAATAAGGCCACCTTTGACAGGGCTGTTGTGAAAAGCAAGATATATGTGAAAGCACTCTTGTTATGTAGGCAATTATCTCAATAATCATACTGATAATTACTCTTTTTTCACATTGTTAAATATTTCAGTAGCTTTGGGGATACAAGTGGTTTTTGGCTACATGGATGAATTGTATAGTAGTGAAGTCAGATTTTACTGCACCTGTCACCTGAGTAGTGTACATTGTACCCAATATGTAGTTTTTTTTAATCCCTGACCCCTCTCCCACTCTGCCTTCTGAGTGTCGAATGTCCATTATATTTCTCTGCATACCTTTGCATACCCATAGCTTAGCTCCCACTTACAAATGAGAATGTATTGTATTTGACTTTTCATTCCTGAATTACTTCTTGTAGAATAATGACCTTCTGCTCCATGCAAGTCACTGCAAAATACATGATTTCATTCATTTTTATGACTGAGTAGTATTCCATGGTATATATATTTTCCACATTTTATACTGATAATTACTGTTAAAGACTTTTGTGAGCTAGCCTATGAAGTTATTACCATTGTGTGTCTTCTGAGAGTTTCTGGAATACCAAACTTAGAGCCAGCCCTTTTGAGTAAAATAGTCATCAGGACTGTTTCAAGTTGAATTAAGATATTGAAATACCCTGTTAACATTGAAGCTTTTCCTTCTGGTTTGTCCTGTTGACTTTTCTTTCTCCTTTAGAGTGTCTCTATTACCTGTTTCTATATTATTGGTATTTGTGGAACTTTGTAGAGTTGCACTTTTTTTTTCCTGAATATCATCCACTTTGTTCAGTGATGTGCACCCCAGGGAACACATTTGTTGTGAATGTGGTTTGCCTATGACCTTTTGTGTGATGATGACTGCTGAGAAGACAGAAGACAATTGTGAAATCAATATAGTAATGTCATGCTGTCTCTTTCTCCCTGCCCAAAAGTGATGTTAGTATGTGTCGTCTCTCACTCTTTGTGGTCCTGCCAGCTCTAGTATGTTTTCTGCTGCTATTGAGCTGGGTGGCACAGCTGCATGTTGCAACATAAACTGCTTTTTTGCAGGTTGCATCTTACAGAGCATGTCCTAACTGGTCCATTGGGAAACTGTGTCTCATATGAGCTTTTCAACAGTATAAAGAGATATAAAATATCTTAGTGAAGATATTTTAGTGGCATAATTTAGCTATCAAAAGGATTTCAGAGAGCATTTCATTTCAGAATCCTTTCTTTTATTTACAATTTAAAATTCCTAAAATAATAATGTAGATTACATTTTGTCTGTGTTTAGTTAATGTGCATTTGAAAAGCAACATTTATATGTTTTAATAAATTTTATATCTAAAAATAATGAATACCAAATTTTAAAGTTTAACTCAGTTAAGCATCTTTTCACTAAGACATTTTAGCTGGGATAAAAGGTTATGTCTTACTCTCTTATGTTTGCATGTTTTGCATTTGCACGAATTTCATTTAGCAACATTTGTCGTGTTTTCCCAAAATATTAGAGATGAATAAATGTATATGCATATTATGGTAGTTTGTTTAAAATGCAGTAGAAATGAAAACATTTCTGTAATTTAGATGAATGGAATTGCCATCTGAATTTTATAATCTCTACCAAGATGGTTAATTTTTATTATTACTCATGGAGCTTTTATATTGTAAGAGTGATAGGTTTTCAACATTAATAATAATAATATGAAAACCAATTCAGTACTCCTTGGTGAATGGCACTTCCAAAGAGCCAAGTGTATGAGAGCAATTGTGTACTGCAGAGACTGCTGTTAGGTGTGGAGTTGGCCGCTATGAGACGGGTGCCAGTGCCAACCTGTGACTCCAGGGAATAACAGGCCCAGTGGCAGCTTAGCCTCATGACCCTCCACTCACCCCCACCCTTACACATCCTCGCCAGAGAGCCTGAGGGTGGGTGAAATTTTAAGACATGAGCATTTCAAGAATTTTAAAGCACTAGTATTATAGGAAATACGGGAAGGTCATGCTTCCATGAAGGTCCCTGCAGCACTGATTTGTTTTTTCAAGACTAAGCTGGTATTTTGTGATGGTATTTTGTTGGTGGTGTTCATCTGTCTTCTGACTTAACTATTTTGGATTTTATTTCTTCAATTGTATTTGCTTTTAGCATCAGTGAATGAAAACCATGAAATATACATGAAGGATTCTATGTCTGCTGCAGAGGTTGGTACTGGCCAGTACGCCACAACAAAAGGCATCTCTCAGACCAACTTGATCACCACTGTGACTCCGGAGAAGAAGGCCGAGGAGGAGCGAGACGAGGAAGAGGATAAACGGAGGAAGGGGGAAGAAGTCACGCCCGTCTCGGCCATCCGGCACGAGGGAAAGGTATAGCTCCCAGGCTGCCGGCTAGAGCTTGCTCCAGCTTTTAAGAATGACTAAATGATGAGGCTGTAAACTAGGAATGTGCTCAGAGTTAGGGTAAATCATATGTCAGCTCTGGTCACATTCATATGTCATTTTTTAAATTATGATTCCTTTTTCAACATTTTCCTCTGAAAGATTCATTCGTAGCTCTTTGAAAATTTTTATTTTAACAACTTGTGTGCTATGTAAGACTTTCAATAGCTGTCCTGTATGTGTATCTTAAAATACTTTTGGTGGTGTATTACACTTTTCTGTTTGGGCTCACATTTCAAAACTGTCAGTAAAGCTGTTTTCTTTGTTTCTGGCCCTATTCTCCTACGCAAGTACAGCATATTTTCTAGATATGCAATTATCATATTGCCATTCTTCTGACTATAAGTACATGGAGTGACCACAGCCTCTGTGTTTATACTTACAGTCTAATCAGCAGAGTAGTGACCAGCCATGTTTTGAAAAGGTATCTTAAGGCAGAAAGTTGCAACAGAAGATAAACAGTGAATTTGGCAGCACAGTTTCTTCTTGCAGTGTATCATTCATTAAACTTTGTAATATCTTTTCACTACAAATTAAATACCTTTTTTAACATAGTTTTTAAACACTATGTTTATTTCTTGTGGTCCAGCACTATAAAGCAATTTTTCAGAAAAATTATTTAAAAGTCAAAAAACACTTCAGGAGGTTTATACCTAATTATAATGGAAAATCAATGCACAGAGCGTAGAGTAAGTGGAAATAGCAGAATGAAAATGCTTTAACAACCCATGGGTTATCCTAAAACTTGAGTAAATTTGATTCGCAAGTGCTCTTTTGTGCATAGGCTCTTCCAATGGAAATGGAGAATCACTACCTCACTACTTCTATGGAGAGTATTCTTTTTGACAAGAATTTAGCAGTGACATCTTAATATAAACAAATACAAATGACCCAGTCCATCATCTTTTATTTTTTAAGGTGAGATCATTTATTTGGCAAACACAAAAATAAGTAGAATAGGAAATCCAATGGCAGGGATATTTCGATAACTTTTGCTGTTAAAATGTGCATTGTTCTAAATTTCGTTTTTACACTCTTCCTGTCTGTTTAGTCGAGGAAGGCTTTAAAGAGAACAGAAAATAAGATAACCCACCCAACAAATATGTGATTCTTCCACTTAGTTATCCAACATTTTGTAAAATTTTCATGCCAACATACGACTGCCATGGGTGTATAAATATGAAGAAATGACACATCAAAGTAAATGATTTTCAGTTTTGCTCCCAAGATAAGGCCAGGCATTTTCACTTTATTTGATTTTAAAAGACCACCAGTTTGTTCATGTAAAATGTAGCACTAAGCTGTCCTCCCTTGCTGCCATTTGTGACATGGGAAAATAAAGGACACTGCCAGCCTCATAGCCTGAGCCTCTGAGAAGCCAGCACTCTGGGCAGAATGTCTTCAGGAAGTCTGTAGCTGAAATCTGGTGCTGGTAAATAGTTGTGGGCTGGCTTGGTTTCCCCAGTGCAAAGTTGCCTTTTAAAAATGACTTTAATAATCGACATGAAAGGTTAAACCTTAATGTTATCCTTCTCTATCTTCAAAAGGTGACATAGAGTGTACTTACTGTTCAACCACAATGAAAGTGTATTGCTGAAAATAGTTCTTGAAAGGCTGGTTCCCTAGGTTGCCTGGGAAGGAGGCACGTTTCCCAGGCAGGGATCCCCCGAGTCGTGGGCCACCTCACCTCTGTGCTGGAGGACAGTTGTCTTCATGCAGAAGTTAGCCTGTAGCACCTACATTATTCTTAGTTGAATGAGATTTGTTCAGGTTCCTGTTTAAAGGGCAGTGTTTAATGTCAAAAGTGAGTGTGTGGGAAAAGACATACTTGTCTCATAGTAAAAAGAGACCCCTCAAATGGCGAAAGGCTATGATTTTATTTGGGTGTTTTCTTTCCCTCATGCCTCAGATGTAATTTTATTTGTACATTTTCTTTCTGCCTGTTGCTGTATGTACCACTTCTCCCCAAGCCAGGATTGGATAATCATCCAAGGCAGTCTGGGTAATTTCTATGCTGTCAGATCAATGGTCAACACATACACACACACACACACACACAGTGGTAAAGACAGCAGCAGGTGTCTAATTACCTGTAGGGTCGGACTTCCTGGCCTGCAGCAGCTCCTGTCCCATCCCAGGTTCTGCTCGGGGCTCGCGTGCTTTCCTTCCTCCCCTTCCTGTCAGGCAGCGCCTCCGCCACTTGCAGGAGAAACGGGCCATGGTGGTCCTGGAGACTTCCAGGACCCAGAGAGGAGGGGAAGTAGACTCACTTGCCCCATAAAAGCTTGAGCTCACCAGGGGAGCGCTTGTGGAAAACCTGCATTCATCATAGTATTAAGGACTCAAAGATCTAAAGATGCCCTTTAACTGCTGAGAAAAATCAGAAGGCTGGGGAATGATATCTTTCTATTATTATGCATCATAAATAATAGAAAGTAAACACTGGCAAAGCATATTACAAGAAAACACATTGTTTTCGCTACTTAGCTTGTTGAAACCACTTAAAGTTCTACTGACATCTTAAAGGAGCCAAAATGGAGTTTTCAAGGGAACTTCAGTTCTTTGTGAGGAGACAGATATTCAGGAATGCTAACTGTCGAATCCTTGATTGTAACTACTTATCAGATAGGAGTGGGGCCAGAAACTTCTTGATTTGGAATGTAAACTCCTTGTTTTTCATGTAATTGAATAACCAAGGAAAGGATCAATGCTAGAGATTTTTTTTTTAATCGAAGTCTGGATTGGATTTCACCTTCATTTTTAATCCAGCTGAACTATGCTAACAGCTCTGCTACCTAGAGATCAGGAGAAGGTTATTGAAAGTCTTGATTTTAAGTTATCAGATTTATTTATGTTTGCTCCCCAAAACCTGAAGCTTTCTAGAGTTGTTGGTCTATAATGAAATTTTTTGATCATGTGAAATGTGCAAACTTTGGGATTTCCCACAAATACCTTCTGTTCTGAAGTTTTAAAGAATTCCACCCTGTATGTGATGGTCTAATGGGAGAAATGTGGCCATTCATGGCAACATTGGCATGCAGCTTGAATACTTTCAAATTCATGAGCAACCCTAGTGTTAAAATTTTTGTTTTACAAGTTTATATTGATACCCATAAGAAAATTAACTAATTGCAGTTTTCTTTTTGTCCTTTTGCACCTCTGTTTGCTGCTTTCTGTCTCTCTCTGTCTCTTTCACATCAGTCACCTGGGCTTGGCACTGACTCATGTCCCTTGTCACCCCCATCTGCCCATTGTGCCCCCACATCTCCCACAGATCTCCGTAGGAGGTGTAAGGAGAATGACTGCAAACTGCCAGGTTATGAGCCATCCAGAGCGGAGCACATGCCTGGAGAGCCCACTGTGGACTCTGATGGCCCAGGGAAGCCTTATCTAGGGGATCAAGATGTGGCCTTTAGCTACAGACAACAAACTGGCAAGGGGACCACCCTGTTCTCCTTCTCCTTGCAGCTCCCCGAGTCATTCCCCTCCCTCCTAGACGATGATGGGTACCTCTCTTTCCCCAACCTTTCTGAAACCAACCTCCTGCCCCAGAGCTTGCAGCATTACCTTCCGATCCGCTCACCGTCCCTCGTGCCCTGTTTCCTCTTCATCTTTTTCTTTCTGCTGTCTGCCTCCTTCTCAGTGCCATACGCTCTCACTCTCTCCTTCCCTCTGGCTCTGTGCCTCTGCTACCTGGAGCCCAAGGCGGCCTCCTTGAGCGCCTCCCTAGACAATGACCCGAGTGACAGTTCAGAGGAAGAGGTGTGTACCTCGGCATAGAACACGCCTCCCCTTCGTGTTCCGTGCTTCAGTCCGAAACAGTGTTAGCCGGCTGCTGGCATAGTGGTCCTACTTTCAGAGCCTCATTTATTGTCTGTGCCAATATGTTGAGGTTTCTGTGTGTTGGGGAGTCCAACCGGGGCCCCAGGGTTAGGCACAACACCATGTGGATGTAGCAGTCTGAGCCCAACGTGGAATCGTTCTGCTACCCACTGAGTTCTACGTGGGATGAAAGACTCAGCCAGAAGTCAATTTCGTATAACCGGTTAGCTGTGTAAAAGATCAGGGCTAAGCTAAAGGTTCTGATCAGTTACAGCTTAATGAAGTAAATCACATACAAGACAGATGCGTAGTTTTCGACTTAATGATAGTCAAGGAGAAGTGGAAGAGTGCATCCCCAGGGGGAATGTATCATTGTCACCTGGGTAGCTTTCTAAAATTGCAAAGATACCTCCTCCCTGGAGATCCTGAAATGCCCCCACCGCCCTCTGATCATTATTGCCAGATGGTAGATCCCGCATTGTGTTGGGTCAAGACAGTTTAAAGCACCAGACTGATGAGTCATTGGTGAGGGCAGCAACAGGCCCAGAAGCAACTGCATGCAGGGCAGCAGTGTACAGACAGAGTCAGAAAAACACAAAACTGAAGTTTTCAAACATTGTAAAGAGAGGCTGAAATTTCACCAGTGCTAGCAATGTCAATGCAGATAACATGACAGCGATTCTTTCAAGTGCAGCATGAGCCTCAAAATCTCCCCATTTTCACAGTGTGGTAAGGCTGGGCCTCTGTGGCTGCCAGCCAGATATGGCATGGTAGGGGAAAGACCCTGAACCATCCGCCTCCATCCTTGAAGGCATGCTGCTGCAGGGCAGGCTCCTGTCCCCCACTGGAGCAATTGGGCGAGTTGACATGGTAGCCAGGAGTTTTGCTCTGTTAATTGCTCTCCTTTCCCACCACTCCACAGCCCTGTGAACAACCCAGCAGTTTCTCTTTCTCCAGCCTTCAAATAGAGTGCAGGGAAGAATAATAGAAGCTGCCACCAGAGGCCCCGGCTGCTGTCGTGCCCGCCCTTACCCACCTCTCCCCAGGCTCCCTGCAGCCTTCCTGTTTCCACAGAACAAGAGCTGTTGTGATAGGAGAAAAGCAAAATACTCCTAGCATTTTTTCAAAAAGTCACAAAGTCAAGGCAATGCTAAAAAAGGAAAGAAAGTCTAATTCTGTGCTCAGCTAGAAGGTCATAATTTGAGCTGCACCTGTGAGTATATAGTGTGATATTTTGAGGGTGTGTGAGTATCTATATTTAGTAGAATTATGACCATTTCTTTGCAGCAGAAGGGAAAAATGTAAATGGTCTCAGGTGTTTTAAAGAAAAGTCTACACTTTTAATAGATTTTGCCTAAGAGTCATTTCCAAGGTTCTTGAGCTATATGTAACAATTTGCTCCAACTTACATATAAATAACTTTGTATACATCGAAAATATCTTGAGAACTACTTGACATCCTAGGCTTTAACATCTCTATTTCTCATACTGACAATATTATCAAATAGTGTTGGACTAGAACTTATTACAGTTAAGAACACACTATTGTCTAAAAAGACTGGTTATCAGCTGATTTCTAACATGGAGATATATTTTTCATCAAGCTAACATAAAGCGAAAAAGATTGCTGTTTTATGCTTTTCCAAATTTGAAATAAACATTTGAACTTTTATATAGCAAACCACACAGATCTTGTGCCTAATCCAGGGTATACATCTTGTTGTAATCAGTGCATGAGAATTAATGTTAAACTCGGGTATGTCTGCATTACATTGGCAAAACAAATCACAGCAGTTAATTATTACAAGCTAGTGAACGCGTGACTGGAGCTTCCCAGTCATACCTGTCCTTGTTATTGCAAGCCTCTGAAACCATGAATTAGCACTGACCTCTGGAATCTTCATCACCCTTCTCTGCAGCCCTAGTCAGCCTATACGATAGCTGATCTGCCGTATATGATCTGCCACCAGACTCTGTTACTGCCCATCTGTTCTGTGTCGTCTCTTAACCCAAGTGCTAAGAGCTGTGCATTCCAGCTGAGGCCAAGCTGGAGAACTCACATTTAGGTCATTCCAGTTTGTTTTCTTTTCTTTTGTTTAAATTGCCATTTGCTTACATGGCCTGATTTCATCTCTAGGATTCAAGCAGTGTGGCAGCTACACTGGGTAACGTTTTAACATACAGTTCAGCTCTGTCACTTTTGTTTTGCCAAGTCACTAGTAATTAATTCTTTTTAAATATTGTATCATCATTGCTTACATTTTTTACGTGTTATAGTGGCTTATTTCCAGTCTCAAGAGTGAAATCCAGTGTAAAAAGGCTTCATCATTTCACATTATAAAGCTGTTGGCCAGTTACATTTCAGATAAGAAGGGATAGGATATCAAAATATCCTATCAAGAAACATGAGATGAACTTACCTCCCCAAACCACAAAATGAAATTAAATGTCTGTTTCTGAGTAATGTTTTTGATAATACAAAGAAAAAGATGAATTCAAATCAACGGGGAGAAAAATTAATTAACTGACTTACAACATTTTAAATTATATAAACCGTATTACAGGATAGTTTATGATATGCTATACATTTGCAGTTTTATAGTCTTCATACATTATAGAAATGCCAGTTGCTATAAAAACTGCTTTATTCAGCCTTATTCATTTATTGACTGTTGATCAGGCACTATACTACTGACTGACTGACTAAATGCTAAGTAGAAATTCAAGAAGTTTTAGATATGGACTATGTTATTTGTGTATGGCTAATGAAAGATGAATAATTATGTAATTATTATAGGCATTTGTTTTTAGCTCTGTGTGTGTCAGGCATTATATAAAGCACTTAGTATCTATTACCCAATATAGTTAGAGCTGTTATTTTTCCCATTCTAGGGGAAGGAAACTGGGATTAAATTATAAAAAGTACCTGATATGTCACAAGTTTGAACAGCAAGGATTTGAGCTCATGTTCCTCTGACATTAAACCTTCCCCTCTTAACAACCACTGTCCTCTGATGCTAAGATGCTTGCAAGTTACTGAAGTAAATTTTAAAACCATAAGGGAAATAAGCTAGATAGGAGGAGAAACACTTTCAAGAATTTTAGAAGTGTTTAACACAACTAATTAGAACACTAAGTGCAGGTCATTACGGCTGGGCAGTGGCTTAATGCCTGTCATCCCAACACTTTGGGAGGCTGAGGCAGGCAGATCACTTGAGGTGAGGAGTTTGAGACCAGCCTGGCCAGCATGGTGAAAACCTGTCTCTACTAAAGGTACAAAAATCAGCCAGGCATGGTGTCATGCACCTATAGTCCCAGATACTAGGGAGACTGAAGCACAAGATTCACTTGAACCCAGGAGGTGCAGGAGGGTGCAGTGAGCCAGGATTGTGCCACTGCACTCCAGCCTGGGTGACAGAGTAAGACCCTGTTTAAAAAACTAAAACACTAACTGCAAGTCATTCTTATTTATTCTTGAAAGCCTACGATCTTGAGTTATGCTGTGTACCTGCACAAATAACCAGTCTATCTTACTTAGTCACACTGGCCTTTCCCAGGGCTGTCACTCGGTACAGCCATACTAAATGCCATAGCAACAATCACCCTCTTAAGAAAACTAACAGCCGCCTCCTGATCCCAGTCGTTAACCAGGCCGGTCAGGTCATGAAAATGTGTCAGCACGCTTTCCTTACCAACCTACAGAAAATTATTTTCCACTTAGACTTGGTAGCAAGGGTGCCAGAATGGTGTCCTCAGGGACACGGGCTGAGCGTGTGTTGAGCCTCCTTTTCTTTTAGGAGTATATAACATGAAACACGCAGCTAGTGCCAAGAAATCCGCATAGCCAGAGTTATGTCAATGGAAACAACATTGTTCCAGTTGTGCTTTCTTGACCTTCCTTCTTCTTTGTAGTGGGAGGTTATTTTAAGAACCAGATTCACCATCATAGACTCCCCTCCCATTTTGATTTTTGTTTTCAAAATATTAATCACAAATATTTGATCAGGGAAACTTTATTAATGGTTAGTTGATACCTGTGGAGGGAAAATCAATTAATATTAAGGCATTTAGATGTCCCTGGCTCTACTCTACTCGAGAGAAAACAGTTTTCATTTGAAGTCATAAACCCCTGTGAAACAGATTAAAAACCAGTCCTGAAATTACTGTTCTCATTCTTCCCAAAACCTAGGCTCTGTCAAATGCTGTGCTTTGTTTTATTTGTTTCCAAGTAGATGTTTCTCTCTTTCTCTCTCTCTGTCTATTGTTTTAAAAATTCTTCTTATTATTTGCTTCATTTGAATGGTATTTTTGGAGCAAGATGTTTCAATACATACTTAATATACTTCTTTATATTGGAGGATGGGGCAAAATAAACAAGATATAGTCTTAAAAAATATCTAGTTAGCAATGCTACTTGAAAAGCGAGTTACCTTTTTCCCATAAAAAATATAAGCCTGTGAGTCACTGGCATGTGCCTTTAATAACTGACAGGTAATGCAGACAGCCTGTTGTCCTTAGATGGATATAAATTATCATAATGATATAAATGAGGGGCTGAAAGTCCAGTGACTGTTACAATAGCTTTTTCTGTAAATGGACATTTTCATTTACCTTTCAAATATGAAATATTACTAGAATAGAATAGATATAAGCATGAGTTTTATTTGCATTGAACATTTTAAGGAAATCTTGCTTGGGATTTTTAGTTAAAAGTTGGAGCGGGGGTGTGGGGATGACAAATTGGTTTTCCTGAGACATAGAACCAGACAGGTCAGTGTGGCTCCCCAGCTCCTGCAGCTCCTGCAGCTCCTGCAGGCTGGACCTGCCTCAGGTCTTCCTGTGAGTTGGCTCTGTGATGACACCTAGCTCTGGCCCTTCTGTTGCTTTGCTTGAACTTGTGTTCTTGTGGGAAGGTAGTATGACACAGATCACAGAGAAAGAAAATGACCTGTCTGACCCGTGCCAGACCGTGTTTGACCAGATGGTTTACTTTCTGTCCCTGCCTTCCTCCTGGAACCTGATCACTTCTGTGGTCAATAGACTGACAGTGAGCGCACGGACACTGCAGCCGACGGGGAGACCACCGCTACTGAGGTTGGTATCATTGCTGAGAGTAGCTGGTAGTTGCCTACCAAAAATGCCTTGTGGGGTGGCTCTGTGTTTAAGAACTCCACATATGAGCTGTTGTAATGGAGATCAGTTCTACCTTTAACAGTAGGAGTTAAATATATATTTTGTTGTCTAGACCAGTGGTTCTTAAACTCTGGCCTACATCAGAATTACCTGAAGGATTCCAGCCACGTGTTTCTCATTTAGAAAGGCTGAGGTGGACTTGAGAATTTGTATTTCTAACAAGTTTCCAGGCAATATTGACTCTGCACATCTTAGGAACTTATTTAGAGAATCACTTGCCTAAACGGATAATACATTTTTTTAGGAAAGATTACCCCAAATGAGAAGCTATAGAAGTATAATAGAATGAATGGAAAGAAAGTCACAACAATTTAACTAACATATTAGCTGGATGCAGATATATTTTTAATTCCCCAATGGTGAGATAATTCTTGTTAAAAATCTCACTTACCTTACTCATTTTTGTAGCCTTTGGCTATAGCCTCAGTCACTCATAAGAAATGAATTTTTAAATTACTGTTAGTACTCTCTTTTTAAAAAACATAATCACATTAAACAATGATAGAAAAGATACTGTTATTTCTCCTTTATTAATTCTTTAGAGTAAAATCTGTGTATGTGTGTCTGTGTGTGTGTGGCTTATATTGTTTTTCAAATCTCTCTATGGGTAAGTAGTTAAAATTTCTGCAAAAACAATATCTGTACTAATGGAAGTTAAGCTGTTTATTGATGTTAATTTTGCTAGGTTTTACTAGCAAATTTTAGTTTTTACTTTGTACTAATGTTTATTTTAGGATTTTTTAATGTTATTTTTTGTATCATCCAATTATAATAATATTTTCTAGTTAGGTATTTAGAAAAAACTAAAAATGTTGTAAATGATATCTGTATATCACTTAATTGAAAATATCTTCAGAAAATGTATTTCATGATGATATTTTATTAGGTTTCTTTCTTAGAAATGCCAGAGTTCAGTCCAAAGCTGGAAAATCATAAGTTTTTAATATTAAAGTTAATATTGTAAAATAATATTTTACAAAATATTGTAAAAAGAATTATCCAGATTCTTTTAAGCAATCATATATAAATCTATTACAAGTAAGTAATTCTCTTTGCCAAATATAACAAAGCTACACCTTGATTTTGTAAGTTAGTTACATGTAACTACACGGTATACATCCAGTAAATTTCACTGGAATCTTAACGTGTGCTATAAATGAAAAATATTTTAATAATAATACCTTAAACTTCTACAGTAGTTTTTAAATGTGTTATATAACATTTAAAGCATGTGAGGGAATACCTATAACATAGGTAGCTTATGAAACTTAAAAATTAAATGAAGAAGTCGGACATGGTGGTTCATGCCTATAATCCCAGCACTTTGGGAGGCCGAGGTGGGTGGATCATGAGGTCAGGAATTTGAGACCAGCTTGGCCAACATGGTGTAACCCTGTCTCTACTAAAGATACAAAAAACTAGCCGGGCATGGCAGTGCATGCCTATAATCCCAGCTACTCTGGAGGCTAAGGCAGGAGAATCACTGAACCTGGGAGGCGGAGGTTGCAGTGACCCGAAATTGTGCCATTGTACTCCAGTCTGGGCTACACAGCAAGACTCTGCCTCAAAAAAATAAGTGAAATAAATTTTAAAAATAAAATAAAATGAAGAACTGTGAACCCCCCCCCCCCATGCACTGAAGAATGAGCATGTCACCAGCATAGTGGCACTGTGTTTAAAGTTTCCTGTATGCCCCGTGATACTGACGAAACTCTTTCCCTTCTATAGGTGGCCAGCACAGCAGTGGTCAGTGTAGGACATGCAGAGTAAGCAGTCTTGTCCCCATTGGCAAATGAGAAGAGGGAGACCTAGGTAGACTAAATGATTTTCTTAAGGCCTTTGACTTGGTGTAATCCTTTTCTCACCTATAATTTCATTTTGGGTCTCCTCTTATAGCACAAGGGCATAAAGCCTCGGCCCTGAGTCCAAGAGCCATAATGAATAACACAGCTTCACCGCTGCATGCATGTGTGGCCTGGCCTGCTTACTAATTACTGATACGCAGACACCAGTCCACGGATTAAACCAGTCCTTGAAATTAGAAAAACCGGGAGAATGAAGTGGCTTTGGGATAACTATTTTTTCAAATCTCAAAAACTATCTCGTCTAAAACCTTTTAAAGAAATCATGGTGTTGTTGATAATAGTTGATTTTTCTTTTTAAAAAAAAAAAAACTTTTTTACTTTCCCCATATTAGCCTTCTTTCCCCGAATTTGTTCTTAAGTATATACATTCAAGAACATTGGCTGGACGTGGTGGCTCATTCCTGTAGTCCCAGCACTTTGGGAGGCCAAGGTGGACAGATCACTTGAGGTCAGGAGTTCAAGACTAGCCTGGCGAACATGGTGAAACCCTGTCTCTACTAAAAATAAAAAAAAAATTTGCCGGGCCTGGTGGTGTGCACCTGTAATCCCAGCTATTTTGGAGGCTGAGGCAGGAGAATTGCTTGAACCCAGGAAGCAGAGGTTGCAATGAGCCAAGATCACACCATTGCACTCCAGCCTGGATGAAAGAGCGAGACTCCGTCTCAAAAAAAAAAAAAAAAAAAAAAAAAACAAGGTCTCAAAAACTTTAAAATGTGGGAACCTCTGTGTGAAATTCTTTTTTTTATTATTTTTTTAAGGACAGAGTCCTGTTCTGTCACTCATGCTGGAGTGCAGTGACACAGTCTCAGCTCACTGCAAATTCCACTTCCTGGGTTCTAGCAATTCCCCTGCCTCAGCCTCCTGAGTAGCTGGGACTACAGGCGCACGTCACTACGCCCAGCTAATTTTTTGTATTTTAGGAGAGATGGGGTTTCACTGTGTGGCCCAGGCTGAGCATGGGTTCTCTGGTCTACAAATTGGAAATCCTAATCACTAACCCCATAGGGCAAGATTCATACCCTACATAGGAGCTCTCATTATTGTGTCATCGTAGCTATTCTTACAATTTTTAATTTTAATTTTAATCCGGCTCCCCCAACTTCCTGAACTATTTCTAATGTTCATCAAGAACAACCTGCTACACCCTTGCTGTCACCTTCTCAACCACATGTGTCTGCTGGTCAAAATGCCAGAGACCCACCGGGCAAGAACTCTTTCACTTCTGCATTCTTATTAAGCTCCTAATTGTGTGTGAGAATGTTGTGGTTTGTGTATATGAAAGAAGTGCATCCATATGCAAGAGCATAGAGTGCCGACACTTAGCAAGTCTATATAGACCATAGTTCTTCAATCTTAGAGTAAATTGCATGTAAGACCTTATTTCCCACTCTTTCTTGATGCTGACAGTCGGACCAGGAGGAAGATGCAGAGCTCAAGGCACAGGTAGAAAATTAAAACTAAAACTAAAACAAAACAAAACAAAAAAAACAGTGTTGATAAGTCATTGTTTGTCTACAGCGTTCAGACCTTTCAGCATGCTCTGTAGCCGGTTACCGTGGTGTTGGTGCATTGTGTAGGTTGGCATTTCTTCCCTTGACAACTGTGTCCCTTACTTTTCCCTTTCTTCTCCACTTTTTTCAGAATAGTCTGATTAAACGAATAAAGGGTGAAAATGTGTATGTCAAACATAGTAATCTTATGTTAGAGGTTGGTATTGGTACATACCACTGCATGTTTGTGTGGGTTGTTTTTCTTTCGGTGGAATACCTGTGGGCTTGTACTGTGATGCATGAACTGTGTGCTCACCTGTTAATAAGTGGGGATGACTTCTCAGCTTCTGATTCCTTATTCTCTCCTAGATATAGATCCCTTTTCCTGTGTGTATATTTATTTTAATTCTCTCAGGTTACATGTGAATTGTACTCTTTATAGTTTACCTTCTAAAAATTATTTTGGTATTCATGTTTGTGTGAACTAGATTTTTTTTTCTCTTTCCTTTCCATGGGAAAATCACATTTTCACCAGAGTGTTTGTGGTAGTGCCATGTGCCTTGATCAAAATGTATTTTATTTTGGCTACTAATAAGAATAACATTATTTTAAAAAAAACAAACAAAAGAGCTGAAAGAAACACAAATGTAAAATGTTGACTGTTGGATACTTTATGTTCTGAGTATAGGAGCTAGAAAAAACTCAAGATGACCTGATGAAACATCAAACCAACATTAGCGAGCTGAAAAGAACCTTCTTAGAAACCTCGACAGACACTGCCGTCATGAATGAATGGGAGAAGAGGCTTTCCACCTCCCCCGTGCGACTGGCTGCTAGGCAGGAGGATGCCCCCATGATCGAACCCCTTGTTCCTGAAGAGGTCAGTAGTCAGGCTTGTGGTCAGACTCACCTTCTGTTCACTCGCCTCCCTTCTCTCCAGGGTGTGGAATTGCATTTGACAAGCTTCTGAGTAGAAAATGTCTCTTCTTATCTATGTTTAACCTGAACTGAGATGCTCAGTGCTCTGAAGGAAAACTGCAAAGTGAAATGATTAAAGTGGCTGAGGAGTGAATAAGAACATCAGACGGTTCTTAGGGCAGGAAGCCACAGGGAGACTACAGTAAAAATCAGCTGATTCTGACCATAAACCTAGATTTTATAGCTGAGATAAATCAAGGTATTCTCTTCATGAACTGACACTTTTTCTACATATGCTTTCTTCTTTTGCATTGAAAAACACTCTGCAGACTTGTTCTCATCAATTGCAAGATGAGGCCTGTTGAGATTGTTTGATTAAATGGTAACAAAGTTCATAGCATTTCAGGACAATTTTACTCTGAGATATTGTATACCAGGCTTTTATTGATCTAATGAGTATTTGATTTTTATTTATAACTGATTTTAACTGATTTATAATAAGTTTTTTGTTTTTTGTTTTCGAGACACAGTCTTGCTCTTTTCCCCATGCTGAAGTGCAGTGGGGTGATCTTGTCTCACTGCAGCCTCTGCCTGCCAGATTCAAGTGATTCTCCTGCCTTGGCTTCCCAAGTAGCTGAGACTACAGGCACCCACCACCACACTGGCTAATTTTTGTACTTTTCATAGAGACGGGATTTCGCCATGTTGGCCAGGCTGGTACCAAACTCCAGACCTTAAGTGATCCACCTGCCTCGGCCTCCCAAAGTGCTGGGATTACAGGCATGAGCCATCACACCTGGCCAAATTTATAAAAAAAAAATTTAGTTGATGTTTTATAGGGGGAAAGTAGTGGCCAGAAATTTTTTTTAGGTAAGGTTATTTCACACTCTTTGGCTATACATTTAAAGAGATTTTTGTTTTTTTGAGACAGAGTTGTTTTGTTTTGTTTTGTTTTGTTTTGTTTTGTTTTGTTTTGTTTTGTTTTGTTTGAGACAGAGTCTCACTCTGTCACCCAGGCTGGAGCACAGTGGTGTGATCTCAGCTCACTACAACCTCTGCCTCCTGGGTTTAAGCAATTCTCCTGCCTTAGCCTCCTGAGTATTTGGAACTACAGGCATGTGCCACCATGCCCAACTAATTTTTTTTTGTATTTTTAATAGAAGCAAGATGTCAACATATTGGTGAGGTTGGTCTCAAACTCCTGACCTCAAATGATCTGCCTGCCTTGGCCTCCCAAGGAAGCTCTTTTAAATGTACAGCCAAAGAGTATGAGGATTCAGCTGGTGTTACTTCAGAGCTCCCATAATGTGGGAACCAAAAATTACTATAGTGCTAATTTAACTACCTGCTGTTAGACATCATGCTGCTTTATCTCTGTTTCAAAAGAAGTCGTTTTTGAAAACTACATCTTTTTTAGCATTATATTGATTAACCTCCTTTTCTGCAACACTCCTTTATTGGGAAATATCTGTTCAGGAAGCTGGCACAGAATAGAACATGAAAACTTTGGCTTTGGAGGAGAAAAATTCTTAAAACAGTGTTCTGCATGCAGTGCTTAAGTCCTTGCAGTAAAAAGAATAATTGAATTGCACTTACTGTTGAGCAAGTTCTAAACCTCCTTTGAAAGCTGTTTATCAAAAGTAACCAAGAACTCATCATCACTATGTTCATGACAATTCCAAACCTAGCTAAAAAGGGAATAGGTCTATATCCATTTGACTTACTTTAAAAAGGACACTTTTTATGCAGAATAAATGAAAAGTACAATTACCAACATATTCTTGTATCATTAAACTCCAATTCCATTCAAACTACTGAGTTTCAAGAGATAAATTTCACATTCAGATGATTTAAATGTAATAGTCCTTACAATATTAAGTTATGCTCTCATAAATTTAATTGTAATTGGTTAAGTTTGGCTTACCCTATTTCTACTAACTCTTTTGGAAATAATTTACTGGCTCTAAAGATACCAGATACTGGATTAAGGTACAAAAACACAAACCACATAGCCACCCCAAACAAAACAAAGCAAAGCCTCTCTCCTCATGATGTTATTTCAGAAAATGCTAAATGGTAGCCACTTTTGAGTGAAAGTCTAGGAAACAACTTAGAGAATTTAAAGGGTGGTGCTAATAAACAAAGGAACTTCGTGACTCTAGGCCATTAGACTAGTAAGATAATTTGTTTTACACCTATTAAATTCTAGATACTAGAGAATTAACATTTGATAAGCCCCCAAAGACATTAATAATTTATGGAGTATTTTGAATATACTGAACTTTCCCTGGATATTAATGCTTTTTCGGTGTTAGTGAAGAAAAACTGGAGAAGACTAAGAAAGGATTTTTTTTTTCAACATAATCAAGGAAGAAAAACATACCCTCTGCAGAATGGCAAAGCAGTGTGGTTATTTAAACTGGGGAAGACCACAGGCTGGCGTACTCCCTACTTTCAGCCTCTGCAGGGTTGTTTTGCAGTCCTGCAGTGCTCCATTACCACTGTGAACCGAAGACACAGCAGAAAGAGCTTGACTAGATAGAAAGAACTTGTTAGAAACCGGGCTGATTAACCCTGCTTATCAAAGGAGCCCTGAAAAGCATCTTGAAGGAGCTTCAAGTCCCAGAGGAAAAGAGCTCTCTTTAGGCGGTCAGGGTGCTGTGGCAGCAGGGCCAGGCAGAGTGGCCTCTCCTCCCTTCTGCTCTTCTCCAGGACCTCATAGTCATCGAGGACATTAAGTTTATACTCCAGCTGAGGGCCCTGTAGATAGCCTTCAGAACAAAAAAGAAAGCTCTGGTACTCTAAATTATTGCCAATTTCTGTGTTAAAACCATGGCTTCTGTTACTTTTGTATGTGAAAAGCACAAAAGATAATTTTATCCTTTTTATAATCCTTTGTATGTTATATACATAAAACACATACTGGTTTTTAAATATATAACCAAAAGATTTTTATTTTAGAGGGGATATTTTTTAAAGTAGCTTTTACTAGTTTGATATCACTCTATTTTGTAATAAAATCCACTCTAATTAAACAGTAAACCGGTTTAGAAAGAAGTCCAATTACTTGTAAATGGAAATGTTTAACTTAACTTTTAAAATGGACAACTCTAATAAAGTAATGGTTATTTGTGTCAGAATCAGATAGAAACTTCAATTCGGTGTCCCCAAACTTAGAACTTCCCAAAGCTTAGTTGGTTTTGTTTTTGTTTTTGTCTCAGTGACAAAATTGTACATTGAAGAAAAAACCTAAAGATCTTTTGAGTTTTAATGTGACCATCTTTTTTCTTTATTTTGTTGTATCTATAGTAGTTGAATTGTTATAATAATTATTTCTATAAAATGCTACCAGTTTATGAACAATTAGAAGAAAATTATAGTTAGAATTATATTCAGTGAGCTAATAATGATGATTATGTTCTGAGAATTTTATGTTTGTTTCCTGTATAAAATGGAAATTTGATTGCCAATTGTTTCAAGTTTCAGATATTTGAGTTAATAGCAGACAAGTAGCAAGGATGCCCCAAAGCAGCAAATAATATCTAATTCTCATTTACTTTAGAAAATAGGCAAATACACCCGCACCCAGGGCCCACCAAACATAGGGAGGGTAGGCATGTGGTTTGTGCAGCGTGCCCAAGTACATCCTCTGTCCACAAACCTTTCCCATGACAGCCTTTTGTGATGCATCTAAGCCTTGTCCGTGTTAGAGATATATCCTTAGTGGTTACTGGAATACCAAAATTTTCCAAATCATAATTAAAAAGCAGTACCTACTAGTATGTATGCTGCGCCAGTATTGTTCTCTCTTTCATGTGAGTGGTAGTTTTACAGGCATATTCACTGTATGGTGATTCCTTGAGCTAGATGATTAGTTTAGTCCGTTTCCATGATTTCCAAACATTCATTTGCAAATTTGCCCATTCCCTAAAATTTATTTGTAGAAATCTTTACTCACCCAACAGTAAATAACTCTGTTATGAATTTTGTGTGCCAGTATAGGGCCTTGTTTTCCAATTATGATATTGAGATTAATTACTTACAACGTTTAAGTAACTAAATGAAATGGTTGGGCTATATACCTGACTATATCCTAACCCCTAATAAAAGTGAGTTTCTTTATCACTGCCTCTTCACTTCTCTATTAACTAGACTGACTATATTGGGAGGTTGACCGTATATAGAATTAAATTCTAGAATCTACTCCCTATGTTACCTGTTTATGTTATTGGACATACACAGTTTAGAATGTAGACACTTAATATTTTCAATTATAAGACATAGGCATTTTTTTAATTAGTTGGTTTCAGACAACAGGATATGCTGAGAACCAGTTTTGCTGGGTTTTTGTGAAGCTTTTATCTTAGGAATAATATTTAGTTCAGTGATTGTACTTAGAGACCTAGCAGTGTTATTCTGAAAAGTACCTATAATTTTGACCTTTCCTTTCTGTTTCTCATTTGTTTGCAAAAGAGGCTATGATTAAAAGCAAAAAAAAAAAAAAAAGAAAAGAAAGAAAGAAAAAAAAAAGAAAAAGAAACAAAAATCTACATTTAATTACACATGGTACATTTTATCTTTTCCAATACCATCCTCCAAAATGCAGCAGGACAGAGGGTTGTGGGGTTTGTTTTTCCTTCTCTGAAAATGGCTTACTTGTTTCTCATTAGAAAGAGTCATTTGAGAATGATACTATCAAAATCTGTCAGTAGGTCCTGCAGAATATTCCAGATGTTCCCCTATAACATCTTGCAAACAAATGATTGAATGTAGTACTGGTAGATTTTTAGACAAAAAAAAATTTTTAATAATTCTCATAAAATTACATTGTTTGTAATGATAAAACATATTTTGAAAGTTCTATTCTTCTAGAAACTTTGAACTTGCCATTGTTATTTTTTACATTAATCTTCCAAAATACCCTTTCTATCCCTGCTCTGTGGAGTTGAACACCATGCAGAGAGAGGCTTGATAGCTCATGTATTGCCACTTAAATTGTACCTATTTAATACTAAAGAAAAAAAAAGTAGTTAAAAAGTAAAAACCTAGTTCCTAACATGAAATACTATTTCTTAATTTTTTTATGTTAAAGAATGAATTGATATACTTAATTTTCCACCAAGTTATTTTGAAATTGACTTTTCAAAATTATTAACCATGTTACAAAAGTTCAAATAAAGCTGTACCCTTGAGTATTTTTTTTTGTTTATCTGTGGGATAATAAATCAATCCATCTAAGTATAACTGGGTTTATTTAAATTAGTGACTAATGCAGTGACATTGTGTATATTTCACTACTCTGTAACAAGCAGCACCTAAATGGGGAATACAATAAAATGCTTGTCAGAAATAGAAGTCAGGCTTTATTCCTAACTTAAATCTTTAAAAATTTCTTAATGTTTTATTTTAAATACCCACTTTTTAATGCCAACATAAACACTGTTTAAATGCCTTTATATTGCTCTTGCATGTTCTGTGTTTATAGAAATGAAGCACATTTGAGTTATATAAACATCAAAGTTTCAGAAAATCTGAACTCGTTGGAAAAAAACTGAATTTTGAGATAGTTTCAGATCATTTTTCAAATGCATAAACAATAATTTACTCCTTCAGGAAAAAAAGAATGAATATTATGAGAATATATGAGATAAATATAATACAATGAAAGAACTCTCTTCCTAACTTGCCTTTTTGGAAACTGTCTGCTTCCTCTTCTCCAACCCAACCCCCTTTATTCAAACAGACCAAAGAAGAAAGAGAGATTTCTGAAAAAATTATATTTTTGCAGCAAGGAAGCTCTCCATTCTTTGAGTCTCAGGTAAAACCCAAACATAAAGGATTTTCCAAAAGGAATTGTTCTTCAGACTTCAGTGTCATTAAAATGTTTTTAGTTTTTATTTTCCCTTTTAAATGTATTTTGTTTAAAACCAAAGTAGGTACATAATTTTGATTTAGATTCCGGGGAAGGGAAAATGGAATTCTCTTAATATTTTAGTTATCAGTTATGCATCATTTCATTATGGCTTCTAATCCAAGCTGATTTTTCTCTGTATGTTGTCATTGACTTACTTTCTAATAATAATTTTGCTGAAATGTTGTTTTACTGCCTGTTTTTACCTGTAGAATGGTGCTAATTTAGATGATGTTGATTGATTTTGAAAGTTCTGAATTCTTACTGGTTTCCCCACTAGCCAAGTGTGATAAAGAAAATGCAGGAAGGAGATTCTGCTGACTCTGTGGTTACTTCTCGTCAAATAATTTTCCAGAAAACTGTCCCATCGACCCTAGAGGTTATTCTTTTAATTCATTTCACCTCATCTAGCAGCAGCATGTAGATGGATCTGTAGTAATTTTTTTAAAGCACACATATTTCTAGATTTAAATTTTCAGGCTGCAATAAACAAAAACGTTTCTAGAAAACATGCCAGTTTAAAATGTAAACCAAGGCACTCACCTGCTCCTAGTTCGATATCTCTTCCCTCTGTAATCTGTGAAGCTATTAACCTACCCGGTCACATTATATTATGCCTTCCTGAATACAAAAGTTTCTTAGCTTTCATTTCTTTAGTTTTACTGGAACTAACACTAAAGAAAGTGGGAGAGAAACTCCTGAGGCAATAAACTTCAGTTGTAGATAAGATTGGAGCTGGGCACAATGGCATGTGCCTGTAGTCTCAGCTCCTGGGGAGGCTGAGATGGGAGGATTGCTTCAGCCCAGGAATTCAAGGCTGACCTGGGCTGAAGGTCAGGGAAACATAGGGAAACCCTATTTCTTTAAAAAATATATAAGACTCGAACAGTACACAGATCACTATTTATAAGGGGCTCTAATAGTGTCCCATTTGTGGGAAATATTTCGGTATAATGCTTTGAACACAGTCACACTCAATATTTATTGAATAATAAATGCTATCATGGATTCAATTCCCTGAATAAGGAAATACAATTTACAAATGTATAAAATGGTATTGACATAAATTTGTAGAATGTTGAGAAGTTCTTTGTGAGAACAACAGTATATGAAGTATAGATTATATTTAACGAGGAAAACTTTTTATGCCCACGCATGTAAAGCTAAGTAAGTTTTAGAACAACTTCAATAATGTTATTTAATCTTGAAATATAAAATGGCAAAGTTTATCTTAAGAGCAAATCTGTTCTTCAAAAACTTTACTGCAAAGTATGTTCCAGTTTAAAGAAGTCACAACTCTGCCTACAGAATGTATTCTGAGCTGAAGTTTATAGTTTATCATTTCAGAGGAGAAGAGATTGCAGCCATAATTATTAGATAATAACATAAGCCCTGGACAGTCCCATCACAGACCTGCATGTAGCAGTTGCCCTGATTTTTTTAAAGGATTCTTATTTTAGAAATGAGATACCATCAGAATTTCTAATTTAGCTTTTATATTTCAAATATAGGGCACAGAGGATTGGGTTATTGTAGACAAAATACCCACTGAGGTAGTTGATGGTGATTCGAAAAAGATTGTGACTTACAAGGTGGTGACCGTGAGCAGTAGAACTGGTGACCTCGCACCCGACATGTTAAAATCTGGCACTATTAAAATGCATAGCTTCGAAGACTTGGCTCGAGAAATGCAACTGAAAGAAGACAGCAAACAGAAAATATACACTCTAGGAAAATCCTACGACACTGTCTCCGGGAAAATTGTTACTATGACTGAGAAAGCTAGAGAGGGCGAGAAAGTGGGACAGCCCTCCACTATGGAAGCCCTTCAGAAGATAGAGAAAGGAATGTCAGAGTCGGTGAAGACCGTTCCCGGACTGGCAGAGTATGAGGTCCTGGAAGCCCTTGCCGATGAGAGATCCAAGAGAGGACCCGAGGTCCAGACCACAAAGCGGAAATTGTCCGAATCCCTGGCACCCATCAAGGAGGCCGAGTCTCGCCGGCAGAGTCCAGAAGACGAAGACCTCAAGAAGGCTCCACAGCTGGGGAAGGACATGACCGTCCTCCCTGGCCTGGAAGGCAGACGCTTCAGCAAAACAGAGCAAGTGCCAGAGAGTGAGGTCTTAAAAGTGGGCCTCTTTGGTCCCCGAAGGAAGAGCCTGTCGGAATGGAGATATTCCCAGGAACCGGCCTTTACCGTGGCTACTGCCCATTACGTTACTGAGTCGTCCGCCTCCCGAGTAGTGGTAACCAGTGTCGCTCATTGGGGCCACAGTTTGCAATTCCAGCATGACAGTTTTTGAGGCAGTCCCCTTCCACCCCAAACCTTTTCGTTTCTCTTGCTGCTTGGCTTTATGTTGAGAACAGCCAACCCAGCTTTTTAAATTTTTTTCATGGTTAAATCAATACCGCAGTGCAGAAGTCAGCATTTAAACACTTTCCATTTAATTTCCAGCTCCCTGTTCCCAAGATGTGATAGTGCTGCTGTGGCTTGCAATGAAGGGGGAAAAATACCTGCTTAAATCGGCGCCATCCCGATCCTAATAACTCTATCTGCTTTACCAAACAAGAGCTCCTGGTCACCCCAGTTTTCTATTTTATTTCCCATTCTTTTCTGTTTCCGAACTCTGTTTCTGAGATTCCTTCATTCCTCCTCCCCCGTCTCCTCTGCCTACGATTTTGTCTAACAAGCTGTGAATGTGTATGTGCCTAAGTTTGTGTCTCTCTTTTGTGCTTGACTCTGCCTTTCTTTGTTCACTCAGACTAAGCAGTCTTCTGGGGAAAAGCTCATGGATGGCTCTGAAATCTTCAGTTTATTAGAGTCTGCGCGAAAACCAACAGAATTCATAGGAGGGGTTACTTCTTCTCAAACCTGGGTTCAGGTGGCCATTTGTTTTCGTCCTTGGTGTTTCTGAATGTACCCATTTGCCTTTCCTTACTCTTTTTGGGGTGTGAGTGTGTGTGTGTTGCATCCAGCTGGCTTTGCCTTCAGCATCTCAAAGGTGTCTTCACTTAATTGTCCTTTATACTGGCTTGGCATATCTGTCACATGCCTTTAGTTGCATCTCAAGAATGTACTTCAGATATTCAAAAGGCAAACATGTTGAGAAATTTTAATGGCCTTTAATTTCTAAAAGCATTATATCTCACGTCTTGAGTCTAAGGAAGCAGCCCAAACCAATGTGAGTGTGCTGCAATGCTTTGGTTTCTGTTTTGTTGATTGCACTTTATCCTGCCTTCTGTTTGGTTTGCGGATGTCCGGAAGCAGCAGCACGGGTTCAAGTGCATGCACCAGGGGCAGGGACAGGGGCAGGCGTCAGAGATTCCAATGGGAGGAATGAAAGCTGATTTATATTTCCTGTCAGTGTTTCTGGTTATAAGCTCTTGATGCTGGCTTTAGGCCTCCTAGCAAGTGGCGGCTTTAGTTACTTTCTGACCTTTGGTTGATGGAAGGTCACACTGATGCCACAATCTCTTCCTATGCAGAAAATGGAAACCAAGACGGAATCCAGTGGAATCGAAACGGAACCCGCCTCGCACCACCGACCGCTTAGCACTGAGAAGGTGGTGCAGGAGACCGTGCTGGTGGAGGAGAGGCGTGTGCTGCACCCAAGTGGGGATGCTTCTTACACCGCAGGAGACGGCGCGGATGCCGCAGCACCGCCCACATTCACCGGAGCTTCTAGCGTTAAAGGGAAGGAGGGCTCTGCCTTGACGGAGGCGGCTAAAGAGGAAGCAGGGGAGGAGGTCGCTAAAGCTGTGCTGGAGCAGCAAGAGACAACCGCTGCTTCCCGTGAGCCACAAGAGGAGCAGAGTGCAGCCATCCACGTTTCAGAAACTTTGGAACAAAAGCCTCATTTTGAGGTAACTAGTGGTTAATGTTACTTTTATCACTAAAATAAAACTGATACAGGATGCCCGGAAATTTAGATCGGCATAATGGTGAAGCTAAGTTTTAATTTTCTGTAAGCTTTTCCTCTTCCTTCCTTCTACCTATTAGGGGCCTCCATACTGGTTTCCAGCTTTGGTATCACATACAAACATATCTCTTAATTATTAATGATATAGCACCTGGAAATGTTTTCTACTCTCATGAAATTATTATAATTAGCAGTAAAGTTGAGAAATGCAAAGTTGGCCAAGATATTAAAAAACGTGATAAATTTATTTCTCATGAGTGCACTTTTCCCGAAGCACCAAAACCATGCTTGGCCAGGTCCTAAATGCCAGCGTATTCTTTATTCTCTTTTATTGAGATTCCCGAAGTATTTGGGAAGTTGATATCTCATTATTAGTTCTTCTTTCTAAGAAGTTATTAAATAGAAAACTTATTTTTTTTCCTTATTGCCTTCAAAATGTTTTTCTTTACTTGGAGAATCTCATATAAAAATGTTATGAGATTCCGGGAGACTGTTTGACATGTACGTGTTTTATGCCTCGTTCCCCTGCTCACTCCCTACGTAAACCTTAATCGCATACTAACCTGTGCTTATAACCACCGAAGAGGAAAGGGAAGAAAATAGTCTGTTTGTGCAAACTATAATAGGCACTCTACTTACTTCCCTTTGGCACAGTCCTCAACGGTGAAGACAGAAACCATCAGTTTTGGCAGTGTTTCACCAGGAGGAGTAAAGCTAGAAATTTCTACCAAGGAAGTGCCAGTAGTTCACACCGAAACCAAAACCATCACATATGAATCATCACAGGTGAGATGTTCTGTGAAGGCCAGAGCCCTGGCTCCTCATTTCACCCGTCTTATGGCTTATCGTGTTTACATAGAACTGCGCAATGTTGGGCCGGGCGCGATGGCTCACGCCTGTAATCCCAGCACTTTGGGAGGCCGAGGCGGGTGGATCACGAGGTCAAGAGATCGAGACCATCCTGGCCAACATGGTGAAACCCCGTCTCTACTAAAAATACAAAAAAGTAGCTGGGCATGGTGGTGCACGCCTGTAATCCCAGCTACTCAGGCAGCTGAGGCAGGAGAATTGCCTGAACCCAGGAGGCGGAGGTTGCAGTGAGCCGAGATTGTGCCATTGCACTCCAGCCTGGGTAACGAGCAAAACTCCGTCTCAAAAAAAACAAAACAAAACCAAAAAAAAAAAAAAAAAAGAAACCTGCACAATGTTTAATTCATGAGACTTAGAGAATCCAGCAGCCAGACCATCTCTATTAAAAGTGAGACAATAATGGTCGTTCTATTACTTATCAGGGAGCAGCAGGCGACTTAACCAAGTCTTTATGTGTCTCAAAGTGTAGAAAAAGGCTCAAAAACCTGTTTCCCTAGCCTCGGAGAAAGAAAAGTATTCACTCAGCCATCCACCCTTCACATTTCCAAAATCTTAGTTTTTTTTAATGACAGTTATCTCTGGTTGCACTTAGTTCTTATTCTTGGGAGCAGCTCTCAGACTCTGAAGAGCACAATGATTGTATAATGGGAGATAAAGAAATTGTCATAATGCCTTAAGTAGCATAACCAACTTCTGTTGAGCAAATGTGAGCACCTGGATGAGGGGTCTATTCCTCTGTTGCTTTAGGTTGATCCTGGCACAGATCTGGAGCCGGGTGTGCTGATGAGCGCACAGACGATCACATCTGAAACCACCAGTACCACCACCACTACACACATCACTAAAGTAAGTGGAGTGAGAACCAAGAAGAGGATTCCTTGAGAGCAAGCTGGAGGAAGGTGCTTGTTCAGAACTTCTCACAGGTTGGGTTACCCAAGCACAAAGCGGCTTGAGAGTTAGGATGCCAGGATAGCTGCAAGGAGAGCTTTTACAGCTCTTAGATGTATGATGCACTTGTCCTCATGTGTGGGTTCCTTTTTAGGAATATACATTCTGATATCCTAAACTTAATGCTTACTCCAGCACTTGGCATGTGGTAGGTGTTCCAGAAACACGGGCCATTCAGACCCACAGGCCTCCACTCTGTCCTCACCTCTGGAATTAAAAATGTTACATAACTGCCATAGAACTCTAGTTTTAGTTCTCAAAGAATGAATGATGTTACTCAATGCTCTGTCAGCATCTTCTGCCATTTCGTCCACTGAAGAATGATGATTTCTCCCAGTGAGTAAATTCATAAAGCTTCTCTTTGTGTCTTGCAGACTGTGAAAGGGGGCATTTCAGAGACAAGAATTGAGAAGCGAATAGTCATCACGGGAGATGCAGACATTGACCATGACCAGGTAGTATGTGTGAGACAGTAAATACCCTGGCAGAGACACAAAGAAAAACCTGTTGGCCCTACAGTTTCAATGCTGTTCCTCTAGTCTAGCATGTATTCTGAAAAGAATTCTGAATTAGCTTTCCAATGTATGATTTTCCTTTTGTAATCATTGTACCTCATTTGTAAATTGTGGATATAGATCTGGCTCCTAAGTCTCCACCTCGCCACTGATCATGCATGTTCCACCTCCTTTTTGTTTTTGCCCTTCTGTGATTTCCTGGGGATAGGCGCTGGCTCAGGCAATTAAAGAGGCCAAAGAGCAGCACCCTGACATGTCAGTGACCAAAGTAGTGGTCCATAAAGAGACAGAGATCACACCAGAAGATGGAGAGGATTGACCAGAGGTAAGAGGTGATGCTGATTCTCTAGGCTTGCCTAGGCTGGCATGAGGCATGGGGCACTTCCCTCTCATCCTTCACCTGATCCTTCCTTCCCTCTGTTCTCTCACTGGCGTTTGTTGGGCTGGTTACCAGGAGGATGGAGAATTGGTTTACGGGTTTGTCTCACTTTTGGAGCTTCCCTTCTTGTGGAGTTTTTGCATGTACTGCCAGTCAGAGGATAAAGGAAGAGCAGAGGCTATGCGTGTGTGGCCTTCCTGGTATTCCCTTCTATTCCATGCCCTGCACTCTTTTCAGTATCCAAATTTGTCATGTCAAATTTGATTTTACTTGCCATGTGGCCTAATTGGAACTAAGGCAGTGTTGCTCTGAGAGGCTCAATTTGTGTGTTCCAAATACTAGGAAAATAATATATACCCCTTTCTCCTTCTGATGGCAACATTATCCCATTGTCAGCTTTCTCCTCAACTATGTTTGATTATAGCCTGTTTATGCTTCGGTCTTTGGTTTTGTTTTTTAATTTGAAAGCTGAGCACTCACTTTCTTTTTGGATGTCTTATATCTCCTGTATTCTTTGGGATGATTTTTCTCCCTAGTATACTGCTGTCTCAGGAGGAGACAAAAAATGCAATCTTGTGGTCCTTTAGAAAGCACATGCCTTTCCAGTGGCTGTTTGGCCAGCATCATAAGTAGACTGTATCATCTATGTGTGCACAGACTTGTCATGCATACTAACCTGCCATGCAAGAACTCATGGGGCTGTGAGCGTTTCTGAGAGGGCTTTGAATGCTGAATGCAGCAGTCGAGTGACTTGCATAATTTGGTGATGTGATAAAACGTTTAGGAGATTTCATATATTAGTAAGTTCTCTAACATTGGTTTAAGAAACATAAATTGTTGAGTGGCATCTCTTAAAAGAGAAATATAAAAACCACCCATTTTACTCAAATGAATAGTATATTTTGGAAGATGGCAAAAAAAAATTTCTTCCATGAGCTTCAGCCACTTGGGCGTTATCATAATTACTTAAGAGAAAGTGTATAATTGGCAGTGACTTAACACTGGAATGTCATGGCCTCTTGTCCAAATGAGCATTCTATCCTCTAAGATACTTTTTTTGTGTCCTTGATCTGAGAAAATCTTTTACTTGTTTTCAAATGAGTAACTAATCGAATCTCTTTTCTGCAGGAATAACTTAGCTTGCACATGAATGCAGTCATGCAAACCATTAGGAAAACCAGAGCCTATATGGAGTTCCCTCTTCTAACCCAACTGACTTGTATCTGTCCGTGGAAAATTTCAGTCCAGAAGAATTGACCTTGACCATTAATAAAGACACTGGCAGAGAGATCCTCCCATAATAAAGCAATCTGATTCAGCATCACTAAACTGATAATGCATGAAGCAACAATAAAATTACAAATAGCAGCATTTTTAATTTTCACAAAATGTCTCAGTTTTCAGCTATACCTGCACGTTCATAACCAACAATATAAACCGTGATCTCATGTAACACATAAGCAATTCATGCCTTTCATAGTTTATTATTATTAAAGTCTGAACAAAATTGCAATTTCTTAGGTAACAGACCTTTTGTTTACAGTTAAACGAAGATTACCCTCAAATACTAGAAGCTGTCTAGGTCTATCTGATGTGTCAGATTTTTCCCAGATTAGATGTGCCAGTAACCAAGTTTATTTAGTAAACAACTTATACTTGTTTCATCCGGTTTTATTATTCTCACCCATGAACAGTAATGACTCTCTGACCCTCTGGAAATATTTAACGCTTACAATCTTGCTTTGTGTATCTCATTTAATTTGTTATAAGGTAGTACTGATTTTAGCATATTAATGTGATTTCTTCCTCATTGTTTGTTTTGGTCTGTGTTCAATCCAGAGAGCTTTTCAGAGTTCCCTAACCAGTCCTAAATATGTAAATTGTCATTATTTTGGGAAGAAAAACCTGTATTTTTGTTAGTTTACAATATTATGAAATTTCACTTCAGAGAACCTGTTGGGCTTCCTGTGGCTTTGTTTTCTTAGTTTCTTTTTCTGTGTATTTTTTAATTGATTTTTCTTCTTTTACTTGAAAGTGTTTTATTTTCAAATCTGGTCCATATTTACATTCTAGTTCAGAGCCAAGCCTTAAACTGTACAGAATTTTCACTGTAATTAAAACTATTTAGTGTTATAAATAGTCTTCAAAAAGAGAGATTCTCCATTACACAGTCACCTGCATCACAGCCCACGGTGAATGTATGTTTCTGCATAGCAAAATAAAAACGGCAAATGCACTGAAAGCTCTAGGTTTCTATGGTCAATAATTTCAGGATTGTATGTGTTGAGTCCAGAGGTAATATTTGCATAACATCAAAGGCCTTATTCATCTACACTGTAGAGCTTTCCTGCCTTTACAAGATTAAAAAACACACACGGAGTATACAGTATGCAGTGTCTGTACCCTTTGAGGGGTTGCAGATGGGAACAAATACTTATACTTAAATATCTGGTTGCCTAAGAAAGGCTTAAAAAATACGTCATTGAATCTCATCCTGAAAGTTAAAGGTTTCTTTTTTTAAAAAAATAAGAAACAGGACTCTGCTATAAAACAGGGTTGCTCAGCCTACAGTCTCATGACCCATTTTAACAATCACTGTCACTGTCATCCGTTTCTTTCATTATATCCACCTCTTCCCAGCACATCTATTGCTCTATTAAGTCAGCGTCAACCCTAGCTGTCTTAAAAAATCAACATAGAGTCTGGAATGTGAATTTGAAATTGCGTCTAACTTACAAATGAGTGTTACACATTCCTTCCATTAAGTGCTTTTTATTTTTTTAATCTTTCTTACTGCTTCAAATTAACTGGTATAGAAGTTTCTGCCTTAGGTTGCCATAGAGGTGGCCTTGTCTTTAAATAGGCATTTACTCATGAAGTAAAATTGGATTGTTCCATATTTGAAAAAAAAAAAAATTTGTGGCAGGCCACCGGTGCATGTAAAATTATGTTCTCAGAAATGACATTTGTTTTGACAAATAGTTTCTTATCAGAGCTGTTTAGCTCTGAGGAAGGGTGACAGACGGATCTGATCCTCCCCCACGAGTGTGGCTATTAACACATGCATGCCTGCAGGAGCAGGCTCTGCTCAGGAAATGAGAATGGGGCAGCAGAAAGACTGGCTCCTGGGGGCTTTGACATGCCCTATCTCAGCATCACTCCACTGTTGCTGGTATGGAACACTTACCTCTTGAGTTGAATACCACAAAATTTCAGGGACACTAAAAGACATCTAACTTGATAACAAGAGGTCAAATCTAAGAACCAACCTTACGAGGAAGTTGCTGTGAATAAAAACATTCATATGGGTGTTTTGTTCATCCTGTTACACATGCCAGAAACCTGGGAGACTTGGGCACCAGTGTCTTCCTCGCCCATCATTTTCCTAGCCTGCCAGTTACATTTCTTCACTGTCTCTTTAGTCTAGCCGGGACACTATATCTAGACTATGCTGGCAGCCCACTGACTCCTGTTCCCACATTCTTACCCACATCATCCAGTCCCTTACACTGTAGCTTGCAATCTTTCAAAAAATACAAATGTAATCTTGTCACCCTTGTGCTTAAAATGCGTTTTTGGCTTTGCTCTTAGTGTAAGGCCTCCCTTCTTTTTTTTTTTTTCTTCAAGTTTAAGATTCAGAAGGTACATGTGCACATTGGTTGCATGGGTATATTGCATGATGCTGAGGTTTGGGGTATGATTTAACCCATCACCTAAGTAATGAGCATAGTACCAATAGATAGTTTTTCAACCGTTGCCTCCTCCGTCTAGTAGTCTGCCGTGTCTCTTGTTCCCATCTTTGTGTCCATGTGTGCCCAGTGTTTAGCTCCCACTTATGTATGAGCACATGCAGCATTTGGTTTTCTGATTCTGCATTAGCTCATTTACAATAATGCCTCCAGCTGCATCCATATTGCTGCACAGGGTGGGCTTTTTTTTCACTATTTATGGCTGTATAGTATTCCACGATGTGTATGCATTACATTTTCTATCTGATCCACCATGGATAGACACCTGGATTGATTCCATGTCTTTCCTGTTGTGAATAGTGCTGTGATGAACATATGCATGCATGTATCTTTATGGCAGAATGATTTATATTCTTTATATCCCTTTGGGCATATACCCATGAATGGGATTGCTGAGTTGAATGATAGCTCTATTTTTAGTTCTTTGAGAAATCTTCAAACTGCTCTCCACAGTGACTGTACTAATTTACATTCCCACCAACAGTATGTGTGTCCCCTTCTCTCTGCAACCTACCAATATCCTTTTTTTTTTTTTTTTTTTTTGAGACAGAGTCACTTTGTCACCCAAGCTGGAGTGCACTGGTGCCATCTTGGCTTACTGCAACCCCTGCCTCCCGGCTGCAAGCAGGTCTCCTGCCTGAGCCTCCTGAGTAGCTGTGATTACAGATGCATACCACCACACCCAGCTAATTTTTGTATTTTTTGTAGAGAGGGGGTTTCACCACATTGACCAGACTGGTCTTGAACTCCTGACCTCAGGTGATCTGCCTGCCTTGGCCTCCCAAAGCACACTGAGATAACAGGAGTGAGCCAGTGCACCTGGCCTTTTTTTTTTTTTTTTTACTTGTTAATAATAGCCATTCTGCATGGTGTGAGATGGTTTCTCATTATGGTTTTGATTTGCATTTTTCTGATGACTAATGATGTTGAGCATTTTTCATATGTTTATGGCCACTTGTGTGTCTTCTTTTAGAAATGTCTGTTCATGTCTTTTGCCCACTTTTTAATGGGGTTATTTTTTGCTTGTGAATTTAAGTTCCTTATAAATTCTGGACATGAGACCTTCATCAGGTGCATAGTTTGTGAATATTTTCTCCCATCCTGTAGGATGCTTGTGTACTCTGTTGATAGTTTATTTTGCTGTGCAGAAGCTCTGTAGTTTAAGTAGGTCCTACTTGCCAATTTTTGTTTTTATGGCAATTGATTTTGAGGACTTAGCTATAAATTACTTGCCAAGAAAGGCCTCAATTCTTCTAACCTGGCCTGAAGCCTTTCATGGACTGGCTGCTCCCCACCTACTTCTCAACCACAGAGGCAACAGTGTGTCCACTTACTCTGGGATCCCTCTCCCTCTCCACTGCGCTGGTGAAGTGCTGGAACTATCCTCAGCCCTGTTTTACTGGGTCCCAAATTCTGTTGTAGATCTGAGCTCAAATGTTCCCTTCCTGATTTTACAGATGAGCTTTGCCTATTATACACACTCAAAGCAACATTTTTTGTAGCAAATTCATAATTGTAACTGTTATTTTTCTGAGCTCAAATGTTCCCTTCCTGATTTTACAGATGAGCTTTGCCTATTATACACACTCAAAGCAACATTTTTTGTAGCAAATTCATAATTGTAACTGTTATTTTTCTGCCCAGTTCTTTGAATGAATCTCTTCTGTGTGCCATGGGTCTCACAGATGGCCCACATCCAAGCATTGTGCCTCCATGAGTGGTGCTCAATATTTGTATGAATGAATGAACTCATTGATAAACGTTACTTTGCTAAGATAAATTTGAAACATCAGTTTTTTCCTGAGTTTTCTCTGAAGCAAGTGTGGGGGAGTGGCTCCCCATGGAAACAGTTCCTGTTTCAGCTCCTTCAACAGCTCTCATGATTATGCCATTATCATTGAGTCAGCCACTGGGAAGCATCCCTCAGCAAATGATGGTCTCTCCCAGAATCTGCCATTAGACATGATGGGTTGCTTTCAGCTCTGTAATTAGAAAAGTTTACACTTTATTTCACATGTGCTGATGTCCTCAGTTCAGTTAGCATCAGGTTGAGATCTATTACTGTTGAGCTCTAAACTTTACGTATATTTGAAAGTGGTCTGGGAAGCTGGAGTCTCCTTTATTTCAAATAGTCACATTGTAAATTTCACTAGATGTACCATTTGTGGATAACGGAAGTCTTAACCGCTTCATAACATCTTTCTTAAAGTCATTAATTCTTCAATCTGGGCATGTCAGAGGTAAGAGGGTAAGTAATACAGGCTTAAAACCCTGGGGTTGGTTTTGACTCCTTTATTTCCTCTGCAGTGCGAAAGATCCGTTACATCTAGCCTTCCTTTACCATCCTACTTTAAGCCCTCATCATCTCTCACCTGGACTGTTGATCAGCTGCTAATTGGTTTCTAAGTTCCATTCATCCACTACTACCACCCGCAACCTTCCACCCCTAGTCTTTTAGGCTGCTCACTTGTCAGTCTTAAAGGTGTCATCATGACACAACCAAAAATCCTTTGGTGGTATTCCTTACCCATTCCCCAAGCCTCAATTCTGAACTCCTAAACTTGAGTTAAAACTACATATCATCCTGTATCCCACCTTTTTTTCTTCCATATTCTACAGGATGAACTGTATACATCTAATAACGTGACAGATACACCAGTGGTCATAGCAGCATTATTTACAGTAAATGGTGAAATCAGCCCAGCAGGTGAATGGCTTAACAAACTGAAATATATACACACAATGGAATCTTACTCAGCCATAACAGATTGAAGGGGTTTCTTTGGTTTTTGTTTTGTTGTTTTTGTTTTGTTTTGCTTTGTTTTTTGTTTTTTTGAGATGAAGTATCACTCTGTTGCCCAGGCTGGAGAACAGTGGCGTAATCTTGGCTGACTGCAACCTCCACCTCCTGGGTTCAATTGATTCTCCTGCCACGGCCTCCTGAGTAGCTGGATTACAGGTACGCACCACCATGCCTGGCTAATTTTTGTATTTTTAGTAGAGACGGGTTTCACTATGTTGTGCAGGCTGGTCTCGAACTCCTGAGCTCAGGTGATCCGTCCAACTCGACCTCCCAAAGTGCTGATATTACAGGCGTGAGCCACTGTTCATGGCCTAGAATGAAGTTCTTACATGTGCTACGACATGAATTACCCTTGAAAACTTATCCCAAGTGAAATAAACCAGACACAAAAGGACAAATACTATATGGTTCCACTTATATGAGGTACATAAAGTAGTCAAATTCAAAGAGATAAAAAGATGGTGGTTGCCAGGGGCTTCTGGGAGGGAAGAACGGGGAGTTATTGTTTAATGGGCACAATGACTCTTGGTTGATGGAACTGTTTGGAAAATAGTAATGATGGTTATACAACATTGTGAATGTACTTAATGCCACTGAAGTATATACTTAAAAATGGTTAAAGAGACAGGCTTCATGTAATATTTTACCATAAAAAAATAAATTTGTCATCTCAACCTTCTAAAAGTTCTTGC